TAAAATTTGAAGTCATATCGAATTCTTATTGTTTTCTCAAAAACCAACCTAGATACGAGAAACACAGAGTATACAAAAATTGTTATTTCAAAAATATGAGACTCAAAAAAATTTGTTGGTGTTCAATGACATTCACCATGAATATCGATTAATTTACCCACTGTGACGCCACTGGTAATATTATTTCGAATCTAATTGCACTAGGAGAAGCTCCATATTTCTATTATTGAAATCACGACGTTCTATTGAAATTGATGAAAATACAATTGAGAAATGAATAGAAGAAAGTTTTTTTATGGAAATATTAATACCCTCTGTATCTCGAAAACGAAGCAAGTTAGGACACATGTTCATGTGAACTTTATTTCATAAAATATCACAAGGAATCACTCTCTGAATTTTTTCGGTTTCATTTAGATACACCCTGTATAAATTACGTGTTCTTGATGAAAATATAACAGAAAAAATAAAATATATCTTCTCATTTAAGATAGATTTGTTACTGCTATTTTCGAAAGGCTTTCTAGTTGTTTCTTCGATAGTAGCTTGCAAATTGACAACAACTTAATACAAATGGACAACATGATCGGAAGTTATAGTGATATAAGTATCATATGTTGATGAATTCATCAGAATATTTCCAACAATGAAGGAAGTTGTTGAAAGTGGCAACTAACTCATTTTCAACAGTGAATAGACAACTTGATTCTGCAAAATTACAAATAAAATTAGGAATTGAGATGTGGACACAAACCTGCCGTTTTCCTGTCATATGTGACGAATTTTCTGACGAATTCGCATGTTTGAACTCTCGTTCTATACAAAAAATTGTACGTTTTCAGATTATCACTAGCAAAAATATAGGTACAGGGTGATTCATCATAAATGTCCCCCCCTCTAGCTCACTTATTTTTGAACCGTTTCAAAAATTTGAAAGATAATCTAAAATGATTTTTCTGAATTTTTTTTCCCGTTGCATCAGAAAATACAGGGTGTTCGGAACAAACGATCTACAGAGTACTAATTGATTTTTTTAAATGGAACACCCTGTATTTTATTGTATTTTTAGATTTTTCCTGAAGGGCTGATTTCATCAATGTATCACACTTGGGGTTTAGCGGGAATGATTCCAGAGATATAGGGTGTTCAAAATCCAGATTTTTCAACTTTAGGATTTTTTTGTGCGGAAACTATTCATTATTGGTCAAAACGGCTTCTATGTTCCCATTCCAACTTCGATTTACTATCTAGTGAGATTTTATTGGAACATTTACAGGGTGGTTCAAGATTCAGAATTCTGGTCACCCTGTATCTGTTCCAATTATTAAATGTCAGTAGATAGTAAATCAAAAGTTAAGATACGGACATAGAAACCACGTGACCGAAATTGAATAGTTTCGTCACAAAAAAAATCCTAAAGTTAAAAATCTCGATTTTGAACACCCTATATCTCTGTAATCAGGCCCGCTAGACCCCAAGTATGATACATTGATCAGATCAGCTCTTCAGGGAGAATCTAAAAATACAATGAAAAATAGGGTGTTCCATTTAAAAAAATCAAATAGTACCCTGTAGATCGTTTGTTCCGAGCACCCTGTATTTTTTGATCTAGCGGAAAAAAACTTTATCGAAAATCATTCAAGGTGATATTTCAAATTTTGAAATCGGTTCAAAAATAACTGAGCTAGAGGGGGGGACATTTATGATGAATCACCCTGTACATTGCGACATAAAAAAGTTCCAGCAATATATTAGATTCGGCCAGGTCTTGGCGTTTTACCTATTTTGTTTCATGCGAAAATTGAATGAATATGGAGTTTACGTCTTGTTCGATGCTCGTTCAAACAAAACCAAAATAAATGGAATTATTCTATTAACAAAATAGTTATTTATGTAATAAGGATCATAAAGACGATCATTATGGTATAAATTTCTAATTGAAACAGCAGAAAAATATTGACTATACCGGGGACGCTTCTTTGTATATCATCACGAATGTAAAATGAATGTAGTTTTCGTGTTGCAACTTTCATAAATGCACTGGTATATTCGCAAAAAACTGCGACCGGGCGACTGGAGTCGTCCAAACTCTTAGTCAAATCGGCATGTATCGCGACTAAAGGTGACTAAAGAATAATAGCTTGGCTGACTGGAGCGTATTTCTTCCTGGAGAATACTCACTGCATCTCACTCTCAACTGCTTCAGTCAGTAGCGTCACAGTAGAGAGCTTAGCGTGCTGCCGTGTCATTCAATATTCATTCGATCGGCGATAATTATATTCCGTATAACTTGCTGTTAACCAAACTAACAATGGCATTTTGGAGACCTTTAGAAACTGGAAACGCTTCAAATAATGGTGATATTCAAGGTGCAGAATTAGTGTTAGTTGACAGGGATAATGGTATCGAAAACAATATTCAAGGTGGAGAATTAGTGATGTTAGTTGACAGGGATAATGGTATCGAAAACAATATTCAAGGTGGAGAATAAGTGTCAGTTGATAGGGATAATGGTATCGAAAACAATATTCAAGGTGAAGAATTAGTGTTAGTTGACATGGATAATCGAGGGGATAATGGTATCGAAAACAATATTCAAGGTGGAGAATTAGTGTTAGTTAACAGGGATAATGGTATCGAAAACAAGGATTTACATATTCAAAGTCAGCGTATTATTTTGAATATCTACGAATGTTTGATGAGTGAAAATTGTTATTCATCGCAGAACGATATTGTATTAAGGATTTGCGAATTAACCAAACTAGCTCGTTCAACAGTTTTCCGTGTTATCAAAACAGGGGATGTCATAGACCACTCCATAAAACGTAAACAAAGGAATAGCAAGTTTTCAAAAATTGATGAGGCTACGAAGGAAGTTATCAGGCGAATAATCTACAGTTTCTATGAAGACAACAAAGTACCCACCTTGGAAATGATTAAAGAAAAATTACTTGATTATCCGGATTATAATTATAAGCGTTTGGAAACTCTACGGGGTGTTATAATGTCATGTGGTTTCAGGCACAAGAAAATTAATAACCGTATGATTATAATGGAATCGAGAAGAATTGTAGAACATCGGCAAGAATATCTAAGGCAGATAAGAGGCTATCGTGAATCCAATAGACATATAGTGTATCTGGATGAAACATGGTTTGACACGCATGATATTGTGAAATATGGCTGGGTAGATGATACTAAGCAATGCAATTTGAATACACCTTGTTCAAGGGGAAAACGAGTGATAATTTTGCATGCAGGAAGTGTTGATGGTTTCATTCCTAACGCGTTGCTCTTGTCTGCTAAGAATATAAAACAATCATCAGCTGACTACCATGAAGATATGACTGCGAATCTATTTGAAAAGTGGTTCAATGAGCAGCTTCTTCCAAATATTCCACCGAACTCTGTTATTGTTATGGACAACGCATCTTATCATTCTCGTTTATTGACCAAAATTCCTAACAGTAATACGAAAAAGGCGGATATTGTAGATTTCATGAAGAATCATAATATGGATATTCCAGAAAAACTCCCTACAAAAAAGGTATTACTGGAGGAAATAAAAAGAAGAAATTTCAAGAAAGAATATGTGATAGATTCATTGTGCGAGACAAGTGGTCATATTCTTCTACGACTTCCTCCTTATTATTGTATATTCAATCCAATTGAAATGGTTTGGTCTACATTGAAAGGAAGTCTGCGGAAACGTAACCAGTCACCAACATTGAGTGCAACAGTGCTAGACAATATAAGGAGAGTGGTGGATGAATTAGGTACTCCTGATATTTGGAAAAACTGTATTGCTCACGTCATGAACGAAGAAAAAAAATATTATCTTTCAACCTCCATCATGAGTCCCATTATTATTCACCCAAACAACGATTCTACGTCCGAAGATAGCGAAAGCGACTAAGATGTTTGATGTGTATTCGCGATATATGTATAGTGCAGGTGAGTGTTTTCCTCATTTCGATATAATTTTTGCAAATCCATGTAATATCGGAAATATCGTATACCGGTTGAGTGAAATTCCAGTAGATGCATGGGGATCTCGGAAACGGTAAGAAATATAGAGGAGATTAAATGAAGGCAAAGTTGCGTATTATGGAGCTCATCACTATGATTTTGAAAAATCTGAGCTATATAGCCCTCTCACTTTCAGATATAAAGGAAAGAACGAAAAATTTCATTGATAAACAACGAAAATAATTAGTTGAAAATTGCGTACGCCTATGGCAAGTCGGCGAGCTCAAAAAGAATGGCACTGCCCATGTTTTTATGCTGGTTCAATTAGTAATAGAAAGACTTTACAAGTCGTGAATGTTATCGGGCGAGGCGTAGCCGAGTCCGATAACACGGCGTGTGCCATAATGATTGTTTATGATTCGTATTACATACAAAATTTTATCTGATGGCATTTATATCAATACATTTTCGAAAAATTAAAAACTGCATTTTCGACATGTCACAATGACAACTATTTTTAAAGGAGTAAGTATTGTGTAGTTTCAAATATTAGTAGGTGAGTGAACTGTGCTTTGCCATTATATTAATATTACAAATTGTAGTAATTGTTCTTTTACCATTTATAATAAATAGTTTTGTACATAGTTATGCATTTTGAATAAACTTTTTTGATCAAACCATTACATGTTTTCCTTATAGAATTTCATTATGGTACTTAGTACCATAATGAATTCATTATGGTACTTAGTCCCATAATGAATTCAGTATGGTACTTAGTCCCATAATGAGCTTCCTTATGTCATCAAAATTGAGTGACATAACGTTGTCATTATGACATGCCATCAGATAAAAAGATTTTATTGAAAACAAAACGCCGGTTTCTTATTGACAACCACCCGTAAATTGTTCATTAACCGAAATAAATTACATGTTTCTTCCGAAAAATCTTCTTGAAATGTCGATTTGGCAGTAATGGCAGCGGTTTTACAAAGGTCCTCAGAATGTGTTGTCTTCTGCAGAGGAAATAAAACGTTACTCTGAGGTTTAAACTAAGAAGTGCGATAACTAAGTGTAATATAACTAATCAGTAAATAATGCTTCAACAATAAACGCACGTCAAATATAAATTTGGATGAGATATGAGATAGATATCAAATTTTCTGTTTATCCCGCAATATGATAAACTTAATTGGTATTTTGTTACAGAATATGATCCAGTAACACAGCAACAATGCTAACATTATGGGCGTCAAGCTTCAACACATCCTGGGTATGTATCACATTTCGATATTGATATCAATTCATTAACCTAAATCTCAATCATTTTACTTGGTTCTTTGGGATTTTCTCTCCTCGTTTCTATAAAATAAAAGTATTCGTATTATTTCAATATATTTGTAGAGGGACAAATCAGATGATTTGCCCCAAAATGTCACTGCGTTTAACAAATTTTTCTATCAGGGAGTCTAAAAGAAAAATCCAGTGACATTTTGGGGCAAATCATCTGATTTGTCCCTCTACAAATATATTGAAATAATACGAATACTTTTATTTTATAGAAACGAGGAGAGAAAATCCCAAAGAACCAAGTAAAATGAATGTACCACCTCCTCGATTAACCTACAGACAGTACTAAATCTCAATGTTCATTCTACATTCGAACGAAGTGTTATTGCTTATCTCATTTATGTTAATAAGTGATATACGATAATATAAAATATTATTTAAATAGATTCAGATTATCTTTATTTAAAATTCATTGACAATCTATCTCTTGTCATCTGCCTGACGTTGTTATGTACAGTAAGATACTTAACATTATATTTTATTTTAAAAGATAACTAGATTATCTAACATCTCCCTTTTCAACAAATACTTAAACATTTTCTGAAGTAACTAATCTATGTGGAGGCTTAACAATTCGGCCACTTCTAGTTGTGATACTACTACGATCTGCCTGACTACGATCTGCCTGTATATCTAATCTTTCACCCTCATAATCTTGACTTGTTTCATCGCTTATCTCTTCTTCATTCATTTTCTCTTGATCCAAACATTTCTCATTATTATCTTCTCTAATTCTTATATAATATTTTTCTCTATTCTCATTTTCTTCTACTTCCAATTTTGTGTGTGATGAGGGAGAAGGATTGAACACATGATGGTTTGTTTGATTAAATACTTTGATGAATTTTCTATTTCGAACATACTCTGAACCATCATCTGTCCTTACAAGGTATGAACGAAATCTGAACTTATCTTTGACAATACAAGGTTTCCAACTACCTTTTGGTGTCAACTGAACTAAAATTATATCATTGATATTCAAATTTGGTAATTCTCTGACACCTTTTTTGTCATGATACATTTTTTGAATTCTTTGTGTTTTTTCTAAAAAATCGGAATATATCTCAGTGTCAATAATCTCAGGCTTCAAACTTTGTTCGGTACAAGGATCCATACTGATTTAAAATGGAATCATAATTTATTTTTTCAGAAAGGTCATCAATTTTATGAATAATATTCAACATTTGACAAGAAGGCAATCCTAAAATTGCTTGTGTTCTAGTTTTTACAATGAAGAAATCCATCGGAAATGCCGTTTTTTTTATAAATACAAGAAATATTACAAACACCTACTATATCCAAAGAGTTTCCAGTATACGATTTCAATTTCATGTCAGTTTCCATTATTTTAGTTTTCGTAATTCCAACTTGGCTCAAATGTTCTAATGATAATACATTGCACATTGCTCCGGTATCAATTTTCATTTTCAAATCTATATTATTTATAGTAATATACGTGTACCATACATTATCAAAACCCTGATTATCAACTGCATCTATCTCAATAGTGCCTACAAAAAAGCCATCATTTTCATCTGAATTTGAGTTTCTAGGATTATCATTTTCAATTTCATTCACTTTTCTATTTTTACATACCTTCGAAAAGTGATTTCTCATTTTGCAAATGGAACAAAATTTTCCATATGCTGGACATTCATTAATTCCATGATTATTACTACATTTCGAACAAGAATATATAATTTTATTTTTGTATGTACTCGTTGGAAACCTATTATTGCCATTTGAACTAGTCCTAAACCGTGAATTATATTGTGCCTTATTGACAGAACCTATGACAGATGTAGTATTTTCACCTGCTTCAATTTCTTTGCATTGCTCCTTGGATGTTTCTAAAATCTTGCATTGCTCTATTGCTTGATATAACGTGAAATTATCATTCTGCAGAAGCTTTTCTCTAATTTCATTATTTCGAACTCCACAGATTATCATAGTTTTGATGAGACTGTCCTGTAAATTTTCTAACTTGCATTTCTGGGCTTGTTCTTTGAGTCTGATGAGAAAACTCTCCAGTGACTGACCAACTTCCTGTCTCATGGTGTAAAACATGTATCGTTCATATGAAAGATTTTCTTTGGGTAAGAAGTGCTGTTCAAAATTTTTCAAGAGTACTGCTAACTTATCTCTATCAGCGGCGGGAATTTCAAAGGTTCGGTAAATTTTGAAGCATTCTTTTCCAATGTAATGTAACAGCTGGGCACACTGGGTACTTTCTTCCTTCTTATTCACTTCTGTTGCTTTCAAATAATTCTCAAAGCGGGATCGCCATATCTTCCAGTTATTTGCTATATTTCCATCTAATCTCATAGGACTGATACCTCGCTCTCCCATCATTTATTTATTTCTGTATATACTTGCTTTGAACGATTAGGTTTTACGACTGCGCCATGTTAATAAGTGATATACGATAATATAAAATATTATTTAAATAGATTCAGATTATCTTTATTTAAAATTCATTGACAATCTATCTCTTGTCATCTGCCTGACGTTGTTATGTACAGTAAGATACTTAACATTATATTTTATTTTGAAAGATAACTAGATTATCTAACAATTTACATCAACGAATTAACATTGATGACGTAACATCATCCATTTCTGTAGATTTTTGTGGTTTTCTCATATTAGAGAGTTGAAGTGTTGTCATGAACGTTAACGTAAACGTAGAAATTGACAGCTACGCATGCGCATTTTCCAATTCTTCACGTTTGCGTTGTTAGTGGGCTTACGGATGTACGTTATCTCACGTTCCTTCACGTATACCTCAAATATCAACGTACGTTAACCAAACTATACTCGAAATATGCCGATGAGTCAAAATTATCAAATTCGAGATCACCAACGAGTTCTGCATCAAGGAGTCCTCTAATTTTGACAGGAATAAATGTTCGAATCTAAACACACAACCAAAAATGACCAATACAAACCGAAAACAAAATGTATTATTACGTTATGATGACAGTGACGACCAAAGTGGCGACTTCAACTCAATTTAACGACAATACGTAAACATTTTTCGTACGTTAACGTCTACGTGGAGGTCTACGTACAGTGATTACTTCAACTCTCTATTGTCTCTATGAATTATTGTATACAGTGCTTTCGTAAAGTTCTGGATGAATCCATTTTCAGCCAAACTATACATTTGTGAGGAATCTCCTGGAACAGGTCGATTTTGAATCTCAATTTGCCACATTAATGAAGGAAAATTGAGAATACAGGGTGATCCACGTTCGAGTAATGACGTCCGCGACAATTTTTCCAAACGGAACACCCTATGTATACAGGGTGATTCAAAAGTAAGCGGCATCCTTTCAGAGGCGTATTCCTTGCATGAAAATAAGGCAAAAAGTTCCTATTGATAAGGATCCGAAAATGCTTCCTAAGGGAGCTACGGCCCTTTGAATAGGACACCTCAAAGACGGTTTTTTCTCTATAACTTTAAAATCCTTCACAACAAATTTTTAAAAATTGGTGTACGGCATAAACATTCGATGGTAAATAGGACTCCGTATTCGAAATAATTTCCAAACGAAATCACAGTAACCTGAATATCCGGAGAAGAAGGGATATTTTTACACTTACTCTCTCCCGCATGTGACGCCCCTGAATGAAATTCTGAAATTTCGAATACGGAGTCCTATTTACCATCGAATGTTTATGCCGTACACCAATTTTTAAAAATTTGTTGTGAAGGATTTTAAAGTTATAGAGAAAAAACCGTCTTTGAGGTGTCCTATTCAAAGGGCCGTAGCTCCCTTAGGAAGCATTTTCGGATCCTTATCAATAGGAACTTTTTGCCTTATTTTCAAGCAAGGAATACGCCTCTGAAAGGATGCCGCTTACTTTTGAATCACCCTGTATATCATTTGATATTCAAAATCTACATAGAAAGTTGGATTCAAAAATATAATCTACATTTAGTTTGTATACAGTGAGTCCGTTAAACTTTGCTCTCCTAAAGTAAGTAGTGGATAAATTAATGTATATAACCAAACAATCCATTTCTGAGGAATCTCCTGAAAAAGGTCGATATTTATTCTCAATTTTTTTATTACTCGATTCTTGAAGGAGGAGCTGGATTCAAAAATATATCACAGATAGGGTTTGTATACATTACTTTGGTTGAATTTAGTGCTTTCGTGAAATAGGGTGCCGCGGCGTAGTTCGTTATACACGATTACAAGAATCATTCTGTATACAGGGTGTTCCGTTGGGAAACGGAAATACTTTAACGGTAGATAGAGGTGACCAAAATGGTTCTGAATATACTATACAGTGTCAATCATAAAGTCGGCATCATATTGGAAAAACTTTTATTAATGACTTATTTTGAAATTCGAGTTGGACGTAAATTTTTGTTTTAAACAAGATGAAAAATGACCTACTCAATCGGGGTCACGTGACTTTCGCTACACGTCAAAAGTGACATTTTTTCAAATTAATCGCTGAAAGTAGGCTTATTTGTTCGAATATCGAAAAAGTTTACTTGAAAAAGTTGTTTCTATTTAAATTTTACATATGTGATTCGGATTTTGACTTTCTATTACATTTTTTAGATTTCGATATTTTTTAAAAAATTTCGAAATTTCTGTAATATAAAAAAATTTGTAAATTCGATAAAACTACTTCATACCAGTAGCTTCATCATGCTACTCACTTTCAATTACTAATTATCACTAATTATCGACAAAAATATGATTTTCTTCAGAAAATGATAATCTCCGCTTCAAAATTCTGTTGTTTGATGCAAACAAAAAATGTAATAGGAAGATAAAATCCGAGTCACATATGTAAAATTTAAATAGAAACAACTTTTTCAAGTAAAATTTTTCGATATTCGAACAAATAAGCCTACTTTCAGCGATTAATTTGAAAAAATGTCACTTTTGACATGTAGCGAAAGTCACGTGACCCCGATTGAGTAGGCCGTTTTGCATCTTTTTTGAAGCAAAACCCAACGTCCAACTCGAATTCCAAAATAAGTCATTAATAAAAGTTTTTCCCGAGGTTTTTCCCATATGATGCCGACTTTATAAATGACACTGTATGTTGGGTCTTACATGTTTTATTATCGAGATATAGGGTGTTTCATCAATTCTGGTCGTTTCTTTGAAGGATCATAGCATATACAAACCACCTGGTATATTTTTCTGAAATTTGATTTCTCACTGCTAATCCAGCGACTTGTATATCCGTCAGAAGAGAATTCCAGGCTCGGACTAACAGAAATTTTTACCATATTATTGAGTCCTCGAAAAAACACCCTGTATGTTTCAATTTACAAAATCCGCTCACATATCTGAAGACAACACAAAATGTTGAATAGATTTGTGTACTTTTTATGTTATCGCATGCTATTTTACTACTGAATTTCATACATAATCGTAAAAAATGTGTGAAAAAAACAGTTGTTCAACTCGAGGGGTTAATCACGGGCCTATTTTGGGTACAATAGACTTCCTTCATCGGGAGAATTCCTGGAATACCTGGGACTACCCAAGGTATTCCGGGGATCACCCATGCAAAGAATTACCGGACTTTCTAAAGGTCACCCGGAATTCCCAAAGACTACCTGGACTATCCAAGGAATTCCTAGACTTCCCAAAGAGTTCCCGGACTTCCCAAAGACTACCTGGACAATCCAAAGAATTCCCGGACTTCCCAAGAAATTCATGGAATTTCCAAAGAATACCTGGACTACCCAATGAATTCCTGGACTTCCCAAGGAATTCCTGGAATTCCCAAAGACTACCCGGACTTCCTGAGGGATTCCCGTCTTGGGTACACTGTATTTCAAACGTGATTTAGCCCTTGGTGTAACTCCATGTATCTCCAAAACGAACGCCGTTACGACATTTTTTCACTGAGCTACCCCAACCTATTTTGCAGTGTTCTACCTACCCTAGCAAAAAGGTCAGGTTTTTTTTGAAGATCCTTTAGATCGAATTTGAGAGAATGTGTGAATGAGAATGAAATTATACAGCTCGAGCGCGTTCTTGCCAACAATTATTCCTTGGATTTTCAACGAATTTATATCCATTACGAGAGTAGATACTTGATTTAATGGACGCACTGTATGAAAACCCTATGTGCTATATTTTCGAATCCAGCTTTTCGTGTTTAACAATAGTCCAATGGTGCCGACAAAAGTTGGAATACCCTGTAAATGTGTGATATATCATTGAATTCAGCTATCCATAGATATAAGGTGATGTCGCGAACGTTATTTCTCAAACGTGAATCACCCTGTATATTTTATGTTCCCCCATCGAATGAGAAATGCGCTGTTCCAGGATGCCGCAACCAGTAGCTTAATTCATAATTCTTTCTTTGCAGGAATATTCCTGATTTTTCAAATATGTAGTGCAACCGGTAGCAGCACCTCTTCGGAGAGTGTTGACATAGAAACAAACGACACTAAAATAAACCAGATAGAGAAACTACCAAAGACAAATGCCGAACTGAACACAGTAGATCAAGAAAATACTCAAAAAAAAGTGGACGATGATCCCGAACACATCAAAACAACCCCACCTACGCATACAACAGAGCAGAAATCGAACAATTTCCTCGTCAAAGAAGATAACAAAGAAAACTTCATCACTCAAGACTCCAGTAGCGATAGAGAAGACAAGGCTAGGGCGATCGATATCCAAAAGTTCATATCACCAGAATTCCAGAACAATGTCTACAGTTACCCTGTATCTTCAGACACCGAGAAATATTCTGAAGGATCATTCCATAAGTCCACCACTAACACACATACCGATTACTCGAAATTTGAACTAACAACGCCCAAAACACATCTCTTCGATAAAAAATATGAAGAAGCCAGGCAAAAACTAGAGCAAGAATATGAAGAAAATGCACAGGACATCAATTCACATGATGAAGACGAAGAACCTCAAGGCTATGAATCCCATGAAGCTTTGGACGATGAAGAACCTCACATGGATAAAATAAGTGAAGATCCAGTTCCAGAATCTAATTCCACTCTAGATTACAAAGAACAAATAAACATATCCAAAGATAACGTCATCGAAAAAAATTCCAATCAAAATTCGTTCACTATTGAACAGGTCAAGAAAGTCCTCTTCTCTTCAATTTTCAATGATACCAGCACTTTCGGATACGATTCCAAGGAAGACACTGTATCTCCTAAACCCCTTATCCACCCTACTGAGAAGAGCATCACGTTAACAAAGCCCACTGCGAACAAGAACAACAGTCATATTCTAAGCAACAAAATAGAATCTGAGACTATCAAAGCCATAGGTACTGAAGCTACTACTGAGAAAGAGAAGATGGAGTCCAAAGAACAAATAGTGGAAGAAAACAGGGTTATAGAATCGGAAACTATCAAAGCCATAGCTACAGAAGCTACCACTGAGAAACAGAAGATGGAGCCCAAAGAACAACTTGTGGAAGAAAACAAAGTTATTGAATCTGAAACTATCAAAGCCATAGATACAGAAGCTACCACTGAGAAACAGAAGATGGATCCCAAAGAACAAGTAGTGGAAGAAAACAGAGTTATTGAATCTGAAACAATTAAAACCATAGGCACAGAAGCTACCACTGAGAAACAAAAGCTCGAGCCGAGAGAACAACGGTTAATTCCAGTAAATGCAACTACAGAAAGAGATGCAACAACAGCTGTGGATGTCGACTCAACCACATTATTGGAAGAACTCACTACACCTATCGTAATTCCGGTAACTACAGAGCAGTTGACTGAAACAACGCAATTCACTACTGATGAAGTACTGTCCACGATAGACAACTCTGAACCAACTACAACAGAAGGAACAACTCAATTTATTACCACAGCCGATGGTGAATCGTCAACTGAAGAAACTACCACTGAAGCAGCTGAAACAACTCATGGCATACCAGTTACTGCTACTAGTGCTAGGGTGTCAAAAGGTATGACAATGGAAGAACCTCAATCAACGGAGGCTATGACCGTTACTACAACCGAAGCTGAACCAATTGATGAAACCACCACGGACTTAATTACAACTGAATTGCCTCAATCAACCATCGAGGATACTACTCCAGAGCTACCTGAGCTAACAACAACAAGAAAAGGAATAAGTACAACTGAAACATCGGTCACTAACGAAACTTTAGTACCATCAACAGTTTCATTTCCTGTAACAACAATCGAGTTTATACACGTGGAAACCAGGGACAATCACACAACGCTGGTACCAGACACTCTGAGCCCCAATTTGAGTTATCCGACTACAAATAACGAGTCTTCAGCTTCGAATGATACAGGGCGTACTGGTTCAGAGCCTACTACTACTGCTGGTACCACGGAGGATAATAGCGAATCTGCGGAGTCGTCTGCTAGTACTGACAGTACCACTTTGGACAATCCGGACGACAGTAAAGGAAAGATAATTGCTATCGTTATCTCGTCTGTCGGTGCTGTGTGTTTGATTCTATTGGCTGGATTGTTGGTAAGTCTACACTAGTAACTATCAATCAATCAATTAATCGAATATACTTCATTGCCGAAGATAAAAATTTTATAGACAAAACATAGTAAAATGATGAATACATTGTAGATTGTAGATTGTAGATGGGTCGTATAGGCTGAGAAACCTCTCGATCACTGCGACCTAGAAGATCTATTGTGATTACCCCTATCTAGTTTTGGTCCTCTAACCCTACACTTCTGATGAAGCCTACGATTTTCCTGACGGTTGACTTTTCCACTTCAGCAGGGGTGAGATAGACCTGTTCTAGGTGGTTCAGCTTTTGGCGGACTAAAACTTCACATGAGCAAAGGATGTGTTCCGCGGTTTCGGTCACATTGTTTCAAAAGCGGCAAGTGTCAGTCTCCGCCAGACCCATATTTTTGAGGTGGTACCTCAGAGGGCCGTGTCCTGTGAGAAAGCATGTGATAAGCTTTAGCTCTGGTTTGCTGAGGCTGAGTAGCTCTTTGGAATGGTTGATGAACATTTCCGCTTGTCGTTGATCTGGAGTTGCTCTCCAGTAGGAAGACTTTTCAATTTCTCCCCATTTCCCGAGTTCTCCCTTTAGATGACATTTGCTTATCCCACAAAAAGGCTCAGGACCAAAAAGTGCAGATGCTGCACCTTTTTTTGCAAGGCGATCAGCTGCCTCATTTTCTTTGATTCCTTCATGCCCTGGAACCCACAAAAGTGTGACTTTGTTGCCCTTTCCCAGTTGCATGAGTGTTTCAAAGCAGTCCCATGTAATCTTTGATGTGAAAACGAATGATTTTAGGGCTTTTAGTGCGGCTTGGCTGTCTGAGCAGATATATATGTTGGCACCCCTCAGACCTTTGCTCAGGCACCTTTGGGCGCAAAGGTTGATGGCATGTATTTCAGCTTGGAAGATAGTGGGGGAGTGACCTAAGGCTTCAAATAGCCTACATCCGGATCCATATACACCCGCGCCTACCCCTTCTTCCATTTTCGAACCATCGGTGTACCAAACATGGGAACCTCTGTCCAGCTGAGGCTCAGCGGAACCGTACCTAGGGCGGCTTTATATAACCACTTCAAAGGTATGATCGAAACTGAGCCTGGCTGGCATTATGTCCGATGATTTGGTTGCAGATTCCATTTGAACTTCTTGTAGAATGACCATGTGACCAGTGACATCACCTGGTCTGGCCAATTCAGTGGAGTTCAGTCTGTATGCACTGAGAGCTGCAGTCCTCTTGATAAAAATATGCAAGGGTAGTAGGTCAAGCATAGCTTCCATTTCTGCAGTAGGGCACGTACGCATAGCCCCTATGAAAACATTAGCAATGGATGAAAGTCGCAAGAAGTACATTCATATAACAAATGAAAGTTATTCATTCTCCGAGGTAGTATAAAATATTATTATTACCCAGCCTGGAGGCTTCTGCGGAGAGGTATGAGGTCCCGTGGTGATAATATACTCTAATACCAAGTACATCGAATTTTGCCTACGAGCGTGCGGAAAAGTATTTTTCCGCATGATTTTTCGTTTTGAAAGTTGTAGTTTTCCGAAGGATTTTACTTTTCTGCATAATTTTCACTTTTCTGCACGATTTCGAAGGAAATACCGGGAGACATGTGGTGATAACTGTTGACACCAGAACGTACCCACGGCTCCTCTACCAGCCAGGCAAATGAGAAACATAACATAAAACCACATCAACATGAACTTGGCAACAATTCTCGAAATAACTTGGTAGATCTCAATGCAAACAAAACACAAACATGCCTTTTCTCTAAAAAAGATGATCTCACTATGCCCATTATAAGCTTCCTAGGAGTAACCATACCTTTGAAGACATCTATTTCGATGCTTGGTATCACTATCAGCAATAACCTTTCTTGGGAAAATCACGTGAGATCAATTGCTAAAAGTGCATCCCAAAAATTTGGTTTTCTGTTTCGGGCCAGGAGCTATTTCACTTCCAGTCAGCTGTTTATGATCTATTAGGCACAGATCCGACCTGTCCTGGAATTCTGTTTCTATATTTGGAGTGCAGCACCCAAACATACCCTGAAACTGTTGGATTTTGCCAAAAGAAGGCAATTCGTCTCGTGGGTAATGCCTCGCTCACAGACTCACTCACTTCTCTGGAACACCGTAGAAAAGTTGGCGATCTGGCTCTCTTTTAAAGATATTTTCATGGATGATGCTCTTCTGAAATTTCAACAATTGTTCCTCCCTTGGCAGTCCCCGCGAGATTAACCCGTCGAGTTGAGGCCTCGCACCCCTGCGTGGTCCCTTTGGAGATCTGCAGAACATCTCTTTCAAAGACTCCTTCATCCAACGAATAGCAAAGCTATGGAACACATTGCCAAGGGAGGTGTTTCCCGAGGCATATAACCTCTAGAAATTTAAGAAGAACACCAATTCCTACCTTACTTCCCTTGGTTCTCACGATGTTCTCTGAACATTACAGGATATCCCTTTTCGTGGGAAAGGATTTGTTCTAAAATTGTTCTATCCGTCATTCGGTTGCCCCCTTACGAGCAACCCTCAGAAGTCTTCGAAAGACTTGTGCGAGCAAGGAATGACGGGGGCCTCACCTTTTAACGTGTGATCCCAAACACTTTATTAGGCCATCAGAAAAAGTCTGAGTTCGTGGGTCTCGAACCCACGATCGATACCTCGACGTGATTCGATATTGAAGCATCGAAGCACTGAGGTACGCTGGCGATCGATCTGTAAATTGAATCGTGTAATAGGGACGCTAATATTTGAAACATATCATATATTTAGCAAAATTAGCCGAAAGCCATTTTCCGTACTAAATGTGCGGGGTCCTTATTCAAGCACAATGAGTTCGAATCATACCATTCCTTCACTAAGCAAAAATCATGGTATACAAGATTTTTTCAATGCTCCAGTATCTTTTTCACGCCAAAGAATGGTAGTGTCATCCACAAATAATGTGAAAGTTCATCAGATATCAATATTCGTCAGGTCGTTCAAATGATGCAGGAATATTAACCCTTGGAATTGCTCCGCGCGGAATCCCGTTTGTGATCTCTAATATACAGGGTGGTCCGTTTTTTAATACCGAAAATTTAACAGCGTATAGTACTCGTTGAAATAATAAAAAAACTTCCTATGAACATATACTTTTAAACGCTTCGTTTTTGAGATATTGGGTGTCAAAAATACGCTTCTGAATATATTTTTTTAAACAAAAGTTAGAAACGGTAGATAAATTGACGAAATTTTCCACAGACGCTAAACTTTTTGAGTGTTATTAGATTAAATAAAAATTATTCATAAAAACTATTCAGTCTCGGCTGAATCTGGTGGCGAAGGTAATAATTACACGAGTAATTACACAAATTTTTCGGGTAATTATTTTTCACTTATTTTTCAAGTTTCAATGAAAGAAGCTCGCTCGTAAGATTTAACAACATTTTTCAGTTAAATAATACTACTTGATATCAATTAAAGAAGAAGGCTATGCTCAGTTGCTCACTGTTCACTGTTTATATGTGCTGTCACTCTGAAAGATCTGTCAAAGAAATAACAAACTGGAGTTATTCCGTGTTTTTATCAAAAAGTGTAATAATTTTATTCCAATTTGGCCGTTTGTCAATATGCCTATATGGGATTCAGTACTGAAGAGTATGCAGATATTCATTTCGTTTACGGATTTTGTAATGAAAACGCAGAGGCAGCAGTTCGGGAATACAGAAATCGCCTTCCTAGGAGAAGGGTACCTAATGCACGAGTCTTTATCAATACTCACTCACGTTTTCGTCAGTTTGGGTAACGTGGCAATAATGAACAATACCGAAATAATGGCCCACTGAGAAGAGATGATAACAATCACATACTTAGATTTTTTGATGTTAACCAACAAATCAGTTCTAGAAAATCAGCTCAACAGTTGCAGGTGATTTATTAACTGATATCATGTCATGCTTTTAGTAATTCAATGAACTGTAAAAGGTCTAAAAGTTAGCTCATTGATATTTCCATAATAGATGTGAATTTCATCACAATCGATTATAGCATTTCTGAGAAATCAATGAATGATCGATTTTTTAAAATAACTTGAGCACCCTATATCTCGAAAACGAAGCGTTTAAAAGTATATGTTCATAGGAAATTTGTTTATTATTTTAACGAGTTCTATACGCTGTTGAATTTTCTGTATTAAAAAACGGACCACCCTGTATAACATTTCCCTGTATATTATCATTCGAAGCAAGCATTCATTACATCAACTAATTGATTACGTCAGCTAATTACATAAAATTATTGCAGTATGTGATGAGGAAGAGACAAAATCGGTTCAATTACAAGCAAAGGTGCAGACCAGTGAATTTGGACGACTACAGTGTGGACAATATATCCGTGTACAATAGCGTGAGACGAAAAGCTGAAAGGCAATCCAAGAGATCGTACGGAAATCCTGCTTTTGATGATCCCGTGAGTATCCAAAATAAAAAGTACTTTTATTAAATGGGGCAAGCGAGACGACATGAGGCTTATTATTTTGGAAATGATCACCATAGAATTCAAGCATTGCATAAGATTCCACCGAATTATTTAATTGAATGTAATTGTGGAAAGTTGTTTTTCAAACCTTTTTTCATGAATTCCATTAGAGATAATGATTTTTTGATAAAGAACCGATCCGTGTCCCGTGTCCATCTGAGTGAACAAGAGTTTTCAATATCTTGTGCCAATTTATTTTTTTATAATTTTGTTCAATGTTTCTCAACCAATAACTTGCAGATACATTCATTGAATAATTATGTCGAATACATCATTTAAAATTTTTTGGAATTTTTTCTCCTTTGTCTCTATTGAATGACAATAATATGAGTATCATTTCAATATTCGTGTAGTGAGGACAAACCAGATGGTTTGCCCCAAAATGTAACTGCGTTCAACAATAGTATATTGTTCAACAAGCACGGAATGATAGTGAAATCAGCATTCCGTGCAAGCTATACACTTTGATTCTTCTACGGCTATAATAAAGGTGGATAGATATAATAGATAACAGCGGCATTTTCGATTTCTTCGTTTTGTAGCCATCTGATTTCCTGTCAAGTAATGCTCATCTATCAGACGGAGCTGTCCAAGGGCGATAAGTTGTTTTTGAAATAATAACACAATAGAAATAGTAATTTACATAACAAGTCCGGAAAATATTGTTTTTTTGGATGAGTAGACAAAATTCTAGGCCGAGCCGTAGGCGAGTCTTGGAAGTCTGTGAGTCCAAAAAAATTGTTTGTAGACGTGTTTTGTACACAATTTTTTTTGGAAACCATATGTAAGAATAGGGTAATTATTATCTGCATTTATCAAAACCATATCTACCAAGATTCTCATAGTTACAGTGACAACAACAATGTTAACAAATAATGTTTTTTTGGACTAGTAGACAAAATTCTAGGTACACTATTTTTTCGGCAACAATGTAGAATAATGAATCAATGGGACACATTTTCATATTATATTTCTTTGTAGAATACAATTTCTTCTTTATTAATATTCACATTTGTATCAAATACTGAAATTTGAACATAATACCTATACATACTAACTGTGACATTGGAAATTTCGTATGGACATTTTCAAACTCACTATCGCAGCTGGTTTCGATAGTTTATTGCAATAATCGCAACCAAACTTTCGAAAATCAAAAAGTCAACTAATTTCATGTCAAAAAGCTGTCAGTCGATATTTCGCTGTTATGGTAATTATCATCTGTATTTATCAAAACCTTAACTACGAAGATTTTCATAGTTATAGCATTGTCGATCTAAATGGAAACCTAGTTAGGTAGTTAGTAGGCGAGAGCATAATATTGTCTGTTCTTTGAAAAAATAAATGAAGGCGTTCAGTAGTACAGAGACATCAATGTGAACCAAGTAAACTAAGTTATTCATTTGTCAGACCTAACCCTAACATTTTTCATGGTCCTGTCAAGTTTGTAAATAAAAATCTGTCATGTGGAATCCCGAAAATGAAACATTATCACGAAGGATATTATCAAGTATGAAAACCATCTACCTATACTTGAATGGAAGCAAGAAGATGTTTAGGCAATGCTGTATTAGTATGATTCATGATGCAACTTGAATTTAAGTTGGAACTGTGGAAACTTCGGAAACTCAATAGTGCTATTACACTTTTTCGACATGCAAGCCAAGCAGAAAGGTAGGGGCTGCTTTTTTCCTTCTATATTTTTGATAAGTTACTCTATAATTCGTGAAATTCCATTATTTGCAGTGAAAACATGTCTTTAGTGATGTAAACCATGTACACATCGGAATCACTATATACTTGAAAATTTCAGGTACCTACCTACAGCGAAGAGTACTTACATTAATAGCTTTTCAGTTGAAAAACGGAAAACTATGAGTGATGTGGAAGTATCACATTAGAAATCATTATGTGAGTAATGTTCAGAAGGAATGTACCAGAAGGATGATGATGTTCCAGAACAGAATGGAAAATTTACCATCTGAAATAAATATATAGAAGCACTAAGGTTAGACTCAATCTGGTTATTTCATCAATGTCTCATGGATATTCTGCTCCAAACACAAAATATTATTATATTTTTTATAGATAGGTACCTCCTTGAAAGTCGAGCTGCAAAAATATCCAGTTCACAAGATTTTATGAAAAAACACACAAGAAAATGGGGCAGTGAATAAAATCAGAAACTTTTCATCCTGTAGTTCGATGAGCTGAATCCAGATAAGCAGTAAGAACAACGATTTGTTTGCTGGAAATAGCCAGGCATTTCATTCTAGGCTACAAATTATACACACCCCAATGTATATTCAATTTATCCATTTTTCAAGCAATCAATTAGATGATGAGGAACATGTGATATTCCACTCCAGCACACTCAGGACCATTTTCGTAGTGAGCCACTCAGAATTTCACTAGAGTAAAGTGATTTCAAGATTGTATAGGAATCATCCTCAGATATATGGTATTCTATTGTTCAGGGTTCTTTGTCAAGATGCTGGGATATTTAGAATTTTTTATTGGAATATAACTTGTATGTATTGTATGAATGGCAATACAATTTAATTTTTTTAATAAATTGTACATAATTATGAAGAATTATTTCAATTTTTATTCTACTATATAGTTTGTTCTCTTCTGATACCCTGTTTATTGTTGTACAGATGTATTGGCAGATAAGTTTGAAAACACTATATATATTGTACAAATATTGTATATAGGTGAAGTATTTTTGAAGTAAAACAATGATTATTTTTTTATTAAATCATCTTATTGAAGCTACGAACTTCACTAAATATGAGAAGATGTGTCTATTATTGGCACAAATTAAACCACAGGAATATTCAATACCAATATGAATCTTTTTAATTTATATTTGAGTCAACATTTTGAATGAACTTTATTATTAAAAAAAAGTGTTTTTTTAACCGCCAGCTTAGTTGCAAAGCAACCCTCGAAAGTCAGAGACTTGTGTGAGTTAAGAAGACGGGGACCTTAGCTTTTTAAGTGTCATCCGAAGCACTACTCGGCTGGTAACCGTGGACAGTCCAAAGGATTGATATCTAGGTACCAAGAATGTTGGGTTGGCCACCTATCTCCTCCCGCCCAACGAAACTACCGAAAATTAATTCAGTGCTCGCGCCGGGGATCGAACCCGGACCGCCTGGGCGACAGCCAGCGACTCTACGCTCACGGCCACCAGCCCAGTAAAATTTATTTATTATCATTCTATAATATCTGTTCAAATGCCCGTTTCCTCCTCAGATGCTTCTTCATCTTCAGGTCCTGTTCCTTAAGGCAGGAATTCCTCTTCAGCATCATATTCCAAACAACATTGCCGAGTCTGAAAATATAAAAATATTGTCCCTAGTTTCAATGTCCTGTACCATACTGAAATGAATTTAATGACTTTTGACTATGGAACAACTTCTAGAGGAACCATAGTCAAGTTCTTGGTGAATTTCATACCGAAACTAATAATTAGTTAGTTAGTATAGGTACAAATTTGTTAAATACCATTTTATTTATATATTTCTACCTTGAACAAACTTGGGACCGTACTCTCTTTCCAAAACCGTTTCCTATTCTTCATTGGCAAGAAACAGTTCCCTTAAAATGTTGGAAACATATAGTATCATGTTCGCTTACTTCAAAAACTCACATTCCTGAAATATAAATATCATTAAGTTCCAAATATTATGTGATTCAAGAAAAAAAGTTCACCTTGATATCCAATGAATATGGTGTGAACCCATTGACGTCTCAGGATTTGAGGCTCAAATTCACAACAGTGGGGATTGGGGAAACCATGTCTTGATAATTCAATTACACCTTCACCTCCTGGAGTGCGCAGTTTTCAGATGACATTGCAAAATAACACAATCGCACTCACAAACCAATCAACAAACTCTGATAGAAAACCAATACTAGAAGAAATGATTAGGTATAGGTATAATTGTAATTTCCAAGAAAAGAAATCAAAGTTCAACACATCCACAAAGACGAAGTTATAAGTTAATGACAACTGTCAGAAAATAATTTTATGATTACATGAATCTTCTCCATCGTCTTCCTATCAAATATCACGTCAATGATGGAAAGCACGTCTGTGGTTGAGTACATATTGGAGAAAAATAGAAGAAGAGAATATCAACCTAATATGGTCTATTTCGACAGAAACAAATGAGCTTTTTCCATTTTCAGGATGCCACTTGACAGGCAGACAGATTTTGATTCAAAGAACAGACAATATTGTACCTCCTCGCGTACTAGGTCGCCTACTAGGTTTTCATTTAGATCGACAATGGTTATAGTGACAACAACGATGTGATACTTCTTGGCATAGTCCGCGAAATAAGTTCTTGCTACATTCTCAAAGAAAAAGCGTCTGGGTAGTGAGCACTTCCCGGACGGTTGCCGAAAAATCTTTCATATTTCAAGGGTGGGCCGTCGTTTCTCAAGTAAATCTATGTTATCTCGGAGGTATTCGAGTGTGAGCTCCGAATCTGATGAAAATATTTCCTAGGTGGCTGTGACTCACCCCCTGAATTTCCCGGCATTGGCGAAATTTTCTGCCAACAACGAAGACATCCGAGCGGAATTCGAGGAAATTCCCCAAATCTCCGCCAAAACCAGCGAATTGCCGCAAGGCTGCGAGACCAAGAACAGGTACGCCAATGTGATACCTCTGCCAGAAACAAGGGTGTTTTTGCAGCCGATCGACGGGTATCGCAACAGCGACTATATCAATGCCAACTTCGTTACGGTAAGATTTCTAATCCATAATACCGGGTGATTTACCAAAGTGGCTCACCCCTTTAACTTTTTTTTCTACGTACGTCAAAAAATAACAAGGTTCGCGCATTGGTAACAAATTGCTTCGTTATCATGATACCTTGCACAAAACAATGCGCGAAGTGAAACACAACAGTAGAGATGTTCGATACGTATCGATACATTGAGGTCTCGATACTTTATATTTCGATACTCGATATTTTGTATCGATAGGTACCCAGAACCGTAATATCGTATTATCGTATCGAAAGAATGACTTCAACACTTTTCACACTGTTGCAACATTGACACAGAACTCATAATAATTGTTAACCTAATAGCTCTTTTCATTGGTAAAACTCGGTGCGCACTAAGTATAAAATATATTTCTCTCTTCACCTGATGTCGATAAAGAAGACAAACATATAGGTAGTGAGTGCATGACTACTCGACCAGTTCTTGTCATTGTCATATGTCATATATTTTATATTCATTGTCTTCAGAAGGCTGATATCTGCAGTAGCTGCGTTTTATGTTTTATTTTCCATTTTTTTTTTAAATGAATGGAATGTTTTTTTTTGTTGTCATATCTCCGAAACTGTTTTTGTATGTTTGTTAGTTTGTTCTGTTCTGTTACGATTTTTTATGTTTTTAATAGAATTTGAAGTAACTAAGTTACTCATCTTATGAAGCTTTATTTTCCAACAGCATCGATACTTTGTCGTATCGATAAACATCATATAGATACGTATCGATACTGTGTATCGATACTTTCGAGAGTATCGAACATCTCAATAAAACAGTGCGCGAAGTACCTACTTCGCGCATTGTTAGTTAAAATACAGGGTGTCTGTGGAAGGTTGGGACATGGTTCGACTGTGGACTCCTGGGATAAAAACAAGTTGACTGAGGCCAACTCACCTATATCCAAAATCGTCTCATTGAGTTGGTACAAGGCGTTAAAGTTTTTTTGGAAAAAAATAACTTTGCTCATAAAAAGAGTACGCTGTGATCGATTTTCATAATTTTTGGCATGGCATGTTCTGTGACTGTAAGTCACGTTCAGAGATGTTGTTAATCATCAGTGACCTGCAAGTGTTTCAAACAACCATGTTGCTGTACAAATTTGGTGATAACTTTTCAGAGGTCACACTGGAAACTTCCAGTTAATCTTCCAGAAATATTTTTTGTATCGTGTTGATCCTTAATAAGTCTCGAGGTTCATTTGCGAATAAATAATTTCTGATATGATGCATCCTGCGCATTTTTGAAAATTAATCTAATCAGTCGGACTGTCTATTGATCATGGCTACAATGTATTCTTATTATGAGCAAACTGATATGTTGCTGGTCCTCGCGGGCTTCACAAGAACTCTGGCGTTACACATTTGATGATAATTATTCAGGACCTAGAATAGAATGAAATAGAATATTCAGTTCACAAATTTACAAATCTTATGTTTTTGGCAAGTCAGGTACAAAGGACATATTGAATGTAGCAAATAAGAAAAAACACATTGAAAGTATGCAGAATAAAGTCATACACGTACATCTCTGGCAAATGAAACAGACTTTCACAGTGACATGTACCACATATAAAACAATAATTCGTGAGGACTTATTTTTCTTCCTCAATTCACAAAAGGAGAGAAAAACAAAATTAGAATTGTAACTTGCGAAGCAAATATGAGCTGTATGAACGATGTTTTTTTTTAGTTGTTTTCATAGAGAGAATGATGAATCTGGTGAAGATAAGTATTCCTCAACAGAGTAATAACATAATCTCAGAAAGTGGTCCTTGATGACTTTTTTTGAAATATTTGAGGTCAAGGTTGCGCACACATTTAGGTAATTTGTTAAACAAATTCAAATTCAAAGAATTACGTTCGGATACTTCTAGTCGATATCTTTGTGGTCTCAACTTGTCAGAATCCCTCGTTGCATAATCATGGAAATCGGCATGCACGCTAAATTTATGGAAGTTTTTGTGTATCTCTAAGAGAGATTGAAATATGTATAAAGATGGAAATGAAAATATCTTGAGTTTTATGAGAAGTTCTCGACATGGGGTATTATAAGGTGAGTTCGTGATAAGCTAGTCGTATCACCTAAGGTGAGAACTTTAACGCCTTGTACCAACTATCAAGGAAACGATTTTTGATATAGGTAAGTTGGCTGAAATCAACTCATTTTTATTTCAGGAGTCTACAGTCAAGCCATGTCCCAACCAGATTATTTTTCTGAAAAATGCATAAGATGTCTCAGAGCAAAAATTATTTATTTGCAAATGAAGTTTCAGACTTATCAAAAATTGAAACAATGCAAACATGGTTGTTTGAAACACTTGCAGGTCACTGATGACTATCAAAAACATGTTAAAATGCCAAGAAGTTCGAAAAATATTAACAAAAGATTTATTAGTTATATTATATCTTGGTCCGAAGTTTTATAATTTGTTACCTTTGTCAATAAGGAATTTGAAAAATATAAGAAAATTCCGCATTAGTTGTACAACATATATTGTACACAATTTAGTTACCTTTCTAGAAATCTTAGAAAATTAAGTTGTTTTGGGTCTATTGCAATATTGTAGAAAAAAGTTTTAATAAACTCCAATTTTCATGCATCCCCTTGAGAATAACATGTAATGCTCTATATTATTCAAATTTGTCGCTTACACATAAATAAAAATTGTTTATCTCTATGCATATACAGGTGCTTGCACCTAGATGCAAAGTAAAACTTTCATATTATTATAATGATTATATTAGTTCAACTATATGATGTATGTTTGTATGATATATTAGATATGGTAAATAAACTTCCTGAACTTTCTGAATTCTGAATCTCAAAACGTTACTCACAGTCATGGTACATGCTATGCCGAAAATTATGAAAATCGATATCACCGTACTATTTATATGAACAAAATTATTTTTTTTTCCAAAAAAACCTCAACGCCTTGTACCAACTCTACGAGACGATTTTGGATATAGGTAAGTTGGCCTAAGCCAACTTGATTTTATCCCAGGAGTCCACAGCCAAACCATGTCCCAACCTTTTACAGACACCCTGTGTATGAGATATTTATATTTAAACTTCATGGTACTCAATCGTGAATGTTCAACAGTAACTTTGTTCAATCTCTTGGAGCGCACGAAAGGAAATTCCTGTTATGCTCGTTGAACATCGTGCATACCTAGGGAGGATAGGGGAAGGCCTTTCAAGCCAGTTCAACACTATTTTATATATCAAGCTGAGAATATTTTCACTGTATAACTATATTTTTTGACGTTTGTAGAAAAAATTTTATTTGCAACTCGAGCGCGAAATACTTTGGCCATCTCGATCACCAAAGTAGCATTTCGCGGATACAAAAATAACTATTTTGCTGACAGAAGCTAATCGAATTATTGTAAAAGAATATACTCGGATAAATCATGAGCATGAAAAATTTGATATACTGGGTGTATCTAAATAACACCGAAAAAATTCGAGGGGTGTTTCCTTGTAATATTCTAGCAAATCAAGTTCATTAACCCCCCTATATAAGCTTTCTTGGTGTCAAGATGCAGTATGGATGGTGACTGAGAAAGCTCCAAAATTTCAAAATGATTCTAATATTGAGGTTATTGAGTAATCTCAATGGAAGTCTTGAAAACACCTAAATTAAAATTTGGAATCGATTTTTTATTGTTTCCTCAAAAACTAAGCTAGATACGAGAATCACACAGGGAATAAAAAAGTTGTTATTTCAAAATATTGAACTCACAAAAATCGATATCGATAAATCAACCCACTGTGACGCCACTGAAAATAATATTGCGTATGTAATTGCACTAGAAGAAACTCCATATTACTATCAACAAAACCACAACGTTTTATAGAAATTGATGAAAAGACAATTGAGAAATGAATAAAAAAAAGATTTTCCATACAGATATTATTCCTTGTTCTGGAACATAATGTAGTGTTAAAATTTGGATAGTTCTGATAAAATGCTCAATAATTTGGAATAATCTAATTCTTCCGTTTATCCAGAAGAATTTGATGAAAGTTTTGAAGTCAAAATAAATTAAGTTCAATTTTCAAAATAAACACTTTCAATTGTGACCTATGTTTTTTCATATATTTGATGTCCCATTTCTAGACGTAGTAAATTGATTTTGTTTATATTAGGTCTGCCCATTTGAAATAAAATCATTCTTTTATCGATTTTAGGGACCCAAGAACACCAGAGGCTATTATATAGCGACCCAGGCGCCAATGGAAGACACCGTAGACGATTTCTGGAGGATGATTTGGGAGCAGCAATCCAAAGTTATCTTGATGATAACACTCCTCTTCGAAAATGGAGTGGTAACTTTTGCAATAAACCCGATTGGTTGTCATGTTCTCGCTTCTTTCCATTTTGTAGGAGAAGTCCGTTGATTATTTGCCACCTTCCGAAGTGCTAGACTGTCACAGACTGTTTGGAGATTTTCAAGTGACACTGAAGAGGAGGGATGTCAAAGAAAAATATGTCATCTCTAGTCTTCAACTGAAAGTGAGTATTATCATTGAATCTAATTTTATTTGATATATTAGACCAGGAAAGAGTCCCGCTCATCCTCATCTGATGGAAGGAGCGAATCCTCACTTAATTCAGAAACGAATTTGTAAAATAGTTTTATTTCGAATGTCGCTTAAATTCAGAACACAAGTTGTTGAAGTTTTCTCAAGATAGCAAAGCAAAGTGCTCTTCAAAAACTTGTTTCCATATTTTTGCCTCAAAATTATAAAAAGTGTGAAAATCATTCCCCAGGAACGTGCGGATGAATAGTGCATTGTTTTGTTGAAATTTGCTATTTTTTCAAAATAATTTTCGTGTTGTACGAAATATACATTCATTTTGTCTTGTGTTTCGTCTTGTAGGTAGTTTAGATGAAATATATGATAGAATTTTTTATTCCACCCTGTATAGCTAAATTTGATAAGTGATGATCTTTCGGATAAAACACACGGTATAAAGCAAATGGAGATAATAATTATAAATAATTATCATTTAATCACTTTGTAAACATCTAAACCGGAATAAATGCTACAAAAGAGATGTTTCTGATCTTTACATTATTCGAGGGTTTTGTAATTAATTATTATCTGCTGCACAAGGAGGTCACTGAGCACTACTGAACACACTACCTCGATAATAAATTTGTTATAAATACAGGGTGAATCAACTATAACAATACAAACTAAATAACTCCCTGGAGGATGTTAACACATACATAGTATCGTTCGTTCGATAACAAATAGCAAAATACTGTAATAGTAGGAAATCCATCTGCCATCTGCAGATTTCTACCATCATCTGATGATATAGTCCCAAAGGAATGTAAAAACATTGTAGTTCATTGAACAGCATCTGTGCCACTCACTATACTGAGCAAAATGATGAAAAATATCACTCTCCTGTGCGGAAATTTGTACTCAATTTGGCGATTTGATAACAAGATAAAAATTCTGCCATCTGATACCAATTCAATGGTGAATCTCAAGAACCTACCTGTGCTATCCCTTATTCTGAGCCAAATCCACATCACAGCGATTTATTTGCTCCTATTATTCCAGACATACTTTTGTCATGTGACGAGTTGAAACAAAAAGCAAATGAAAGAGAAAAATGTTCCTTCTGCGAATATCCTAACGTTTCAGTGGCAGAGCGTCAATATTTTCCTTTTGGGACAACCTGTATTCAGGGTAGAGTGTACCTGAAGATGAGTAATCAGAGTTTTTTCGTAAAAAAAAACTATATCAATGATTTGCTTCATTTGATAGAACTTTTATTTTCCATAAATTTAAGTTTTATTTAAGCGTCCGTTGATATGGAGAAAATCCACAATCAAATGAAGGCTGGAAAACTGCAGATGTTATATCATGATAGTTGCAGGAATATAGTACAAATATCTAACTATCAGCGCATTGCATATGGTTTTCAGCTTCTCCAAATGGTACTCACTATAATCATCTTTTTTCCTTTTTAGAATATGGTTTCGAATAGTTGGAGAGAAATCACACATTTTTGGTACTTGGGATGGCCAGAAAAAGGAGTCCCGAATGAAGGAAACTCACTGATTGCTTTTCTTATAGAAGCCAGGAGTTTCATGAAATCATCAACGATAGACAAGGTAAGGAAGTACCTGAAATGGAGAACAGGTTATCTGATTGAGACATAAGAATTTGAGTAAAAATGACTTCATTCGTCAAATATTGCCAAGAATTAAGGTGAAGTGGGATTCAGAATGTCATTTTTGAATCTCGATGGAAATCAGCTATAGTTATTTAAGTACCAAGTACCGCTATATACAGTGTGTCCCCCTTAAGGACTCACCACCCCTGTAAAATTGTTATTTTCTGAGCGATTTCGAAAAACTTTTTTTTGTTGGATAGGTATTTGAAATGTCCATATAACAAGATAGTGATTTCACTCATGAACTGTAATCGTGGCCAACTGCGACCAACTTTATTGACCCATATTTGAGAAAATACTATTATAGGGATTTTTTTCACAAAAAACAATGATGGATTCTGAATCACAATCACTTTAAAAACACTTTTACTGATTTTTATCATCATAAAACACAGGGTGTCCGAAAAAATTAATTATGTTTTTTTTTAATAGGTGATCAGAAAATGTAGTATTGTGGTATTTTTGAGAAGAATTGATGACACATTATTATTGAGGATCACTTTAAACATATCTGTACCGATTTTCATCATTCAAAAATACGATGCGTGTGAGAAAACAATTAAAAAGAAAAAGTAGGCAATATTTTTTCATCAACTCAAAAAAATATTAATTTTTCGAACAACCTGTGTTTAATGATGATGAAAATCGGTACAGGTATGTTCCATGTGATCCTGATTCATCTTTTCATTCTGAGTGAAGAATTATCAGGATGAGAAATATTGCTTACCTATATCCTTTTTAATTTTCTTCTCAGACACATTGTATATTCAAATGACGAAAATTGGTACAGGTATATTTGAAATAATCCTCAATGATCATTTGTGATTATTTCTTTCTAGAAAAACCACAGAACTACATTTGCTGATCACCTATTTGAAGAAAATGATGATTCGTTTTTTTCGGACACCCTGTGTTTTATGATGATGAAAATCGGTACAGGTGTATTTCAAGTGGTACTGATTCAGAATTCATCATCAAGTTTTTTGAAAAATAAAACCTTATAGTATTTTCTGGAATATGGGTTATTGAAATTTGTTGCAGTTGGCCACGATAACAGTCCAAGAATTAGATCACTCTCTTGCTGGATGGGCATTTCAAATACCTATCCAACAAAGTAAGGTTTTTTGAAATTGGTCGGATAATAACGATTTTATAGGGGTGGTAAGTCCTTAAGGTGGACACACTGTATATATAGATCCTAACGCTTGGAGGGTAACATGAATGCTGCCCGGTTGGCATTAGGATCTATGCAGTTACGCTTGTGGTGCATACAAGATTTTATTCCTACAAAAAATCATCTTATTTTAATGAGAAACCGATTTCAAAAAGTGGTTCATTGCTCCTAGCATTTTCTTTCCATTTTTCATTTTTTTTCTCATGGTAGGCATGGCATTCGTGATATTTTGACGTTTGTTGAATATTGCTGTCATCATTGAATTTAGTGAATATCATTGCTGCTTTTTTGTGTAGTCTAATAGAAATAATGGAAATCGATATGAATGTACCTAAGAATATAATGAAAAATGCATACAAGGCTTTGATTAATTCATTGCCAGCTCTGGCCATTTCTGGTCGGTCTGAGAGACCGCAGGTCACCACTGCAGGGTTAAGATTTCCGATCGTGCTGTGTGGATATGTTGAGATTCGATAAACCATCTGTATATACTCACAAATAGTATATTACATCACTAGTGTGGAGAGTGACATATTTCGCGCGAATGGACGTTTAGCACGAGTCGCAGAGTGGCGAGTGCGGAAACGAAACGAGCGCCGGAAATGCACTTTCCAACGAGTTTTGTGCACTATTTTTCCTACGACCACAAATATTTATATTATATGTCATGGGTGTTTATAAGACCAGAGTAGGGATCATGTTTCTAATCATATTCGATCACATGAAGGTGATCTCATTATCATTATTATTTAATTTTACTTCAATATTTGAATGACATCATTAGTTCAACATTAACTTAACATTAACTCGAAATTAACTCAACATTAACTCAACATCAACTCAACGTCAACTCAACATTAACTTCAAATTAACCTAACATTGACTTAACATCAACTTAACATTAACTCAATAATTATTCAACATTAACTCAACATTGAATCAACATTAACTCAAAATTAACTTGACATTACCTCAAAATCAAATTAACATCAACTCAATATCAAATTGACATTAACTTCACATCAATCACTAAATTGCCAATACATTGACATTAATTCAACTTTCAATTGAAATTAACTTGATTTCAACTTTTCATCAACTTAACATTACGTCAACATTAACGACAATAACTCATGTTAAATCGACACTAAGTTTCCATTAACTTGACCATAACTTAACTTACCATGATTCAGCATAATAATTATTCATTGGTACATCATAATCTATAGACCCTGTTACTGTGGGATTTTCGAATATTTTCACCAATGTGAGTTTCACTTCCGAACTTTCTAACTGTTATACAGGGTGTTTCATTGGGAAAGGTAAATAATTCAACTGTGGATAGGGGTCACTGAGGTGATTTCAAAAAACCCATGGTTGATGGGTCTTCGACATCTTATAACCGAGATACAGGATGTTTCATCAATTTTGTCCATATCTTCATTGTGTCATAACTTTCCAACCAACCTGTATATATTTTTAAAAACTGGTACACTTGCTCAATCTACCCTGTGGAATTGATTGAGGCAACAGCAAAAGATAAAATCCAGGTCCGGCTTCACTTGAAATTCACAAATTCTTTCTGCCAGAAAACAACACCCTATACATTCGAATTTCTCATTTCTTTTGCCATATCTGAAAAGAACATCAAAATTTCTTTTCAACGATGTGCTTTTTATTCGTGCACAGACGATTTTAACTATCCATATTATGTGCTCAAAATATTATTTTTGCTCATTTTGGGGTACAAAATTGGAATAGGCGAGATTTATTAATTTTATCACTTCCTATTCAGTATACGTGAGTATTACATTTAGAAGGAGTATTTCATATCGTTCTTTGTTCCAGACTTAGTTGCAGGTCCGTCCTCAAAACGATACAGGGCTTTTCACGATAAGCGTTAATTAGATTTTTCTGGCAAACCAGGCAACGGATAAATCAAAAAAATTCGAAGGTATGTATAAATTAACATGATCTACACGTCTGAAATATTTGAAATAATCCGGCGTTGCCGCTTCTACTCGAAAGGTGCTGTAACTTTGATTTTTCAAATGGGACAATCTGGATGCTTCCTGAAGAGCTGATTTAATCGATTCACAAAGTTCGGGGTCTAGTGGGACTAATAACTGAGATATTTAGAGTGGGAAAAATCGGGATGTTTCAAATTCAGAATCATTTTGCGGAAATATTCATTATTGATCAAAACGGCTTTTATGTCCCTATCTTAACTTTGTATCTATTGACATTTAATCGAAACAAATACAGGATGGTTCATAATTCAGATTTCTGCACCACCCTGTTTCTGTTCCAATTGAATATCGAATGGAAAGTTGTGATAGGGACATTGAAGGCGTTTTGACCATGCAATAATAAATAGTTTAAACATTTCTAAAGTTGAAACATCTCGATTTTCCACATCCTATATCTCAGTTATCAGTCCCGCTAGACCTTGAATGTTTTGAATCGATGAATTCTGCTGTTCAGCAAGAATCCAAGAATGTAATGAAATACAGGGTGTCCCATTTGATAAACCGAAGTTGCTGCTACTGTAGAAGCGGCAATTCCGGATCGTTTCAAATATTTCAGTAGTGTAGTTTATGTTAATTTATATATACCATCGAAATTTCAGATTTATCCGTTGCCTGGTTTGCCGAAAACGTCAAATTAACGCTCATCGTGAAAAGCCCTGTATAGTTTTGATGACGGACCTGCAACTGACTCTGGAACAAAGAACGATATGAAATACTCCTTCTAAATGTAATACTCACATATACTGAATAGGAAGTAATAAAATTAATAAATCCCGGCTGATTCCAATTTTGTACCCCAAAATGAGCAAAAATAATATTTTGAGCACATAATATGAATCGTTAAAATCGTCTGTGCAAGAATAAAAAGCACATCGTTGAATATAAATTCTGATGTTCTTTTCAGATATGGCAAAAAAATGAGAAATTCGAATGTATAGGGTGTTGTTTTCTGGCAGAAAGAATTTGTGAATTTTAAGTGAAACCGGACCTGGATTTTATTTTTTGTTGTTGCCTCAATCAATTCCACAGGGTAGATTGAGCAAGTATACCAATTTTCAAAAATATATACAGGTTGGTTGGAAAGTTATGAGACAATGAAGATATGGACAAAATTGATGAAACATCCTGTATCTCGGTTATAAGATGTCGAAGACCCATCAACCATGGGTTTTTTGAAATCACCTCAGTGACCCCTATCCACAGTTGAATTATTTACCGTTCCCAATGAAACACCCTGTATGTTGTCATAGTGAAACGAGTCACTTTCTCAATAAAAAATCAATGTGACTGACTGTCATAATCACAAATTTTCATAGGTGGTCGTAGGAAAAATGTCATTCATGTTCAAGTTTTTCTGTTTTCCTTGCAGAATCACGTGACGAACGGAAGCATGAACGGCACGTCGGGCACCGAAGTGAACCCCGTGGTGGTCCATTGTAGTCCCGGCACTGGCAGAACGGGGGTGGTGATCACTTGCGACATCGCCATCAGGGAATTCGAGCAGACGCGATTGGTCGATATTCCCAAGATCGTGTACAGGATACGCCGGGATAGGGCCGGGGCAGTGCAGACCAAGGAACAGTACAACTTCATCTATAAGGTTGGTACACAGTAAAAATTCCTATCGAGTGGGAGCTTTGATTATTTCCGGAAATTTTTTCAAAAACATGAATATTTTGAAAATTCTCCCGAGTCGAACACGAGGGACAATTTCCTGAATATTCGTGTTCTAGACAGAATTCCCGGATATTGATTGAGGCTAAAGTGGTATTCGGTGAGAAAATTTTACACTGAAATATTATTAAAAAATCACTTGGATAATGACGATTTTTGATGGTTTTGACATTTCAATAGTAGGCTTTGTATGTTAACTCAAAAGAATAATATATTTTTTTTACAAACGCTTAACAAAGTAGCCTTTGACGCTTTCAAATTCCAGCACAAAGTTGACGTTTTCCCAGAAATGTCATTCTTTGACAGCATTTGCGCTCGTGAGCGGAAATATTGAAGAAACGCTCGCACATCTCTGAAACCTGTACTTATCTATTCTTGAAAACCCCCAATTCTTTCATGATGGAAAATAGTGACAGTGAATCATCAAACACACCTCCTGATATAGCAGAAAGCGCAAGAGTTTGAATCTCTTACCGGAGAAATCAAGGAAGAAATATGAATTACAATATATTCATTCATTATTCACAATTACATTCATTCATAAATTGGTGTCACTCCGAGATGGTGAATATGTGTTCATAAAACGTTTAACTGGCTTATTTTGGTGAAAAATCAGAGACTTTGAAGTCATCAACTCATTGGTCTATCGCATTTCTCAAGAAACAATCTATTGGATATGAAGCGAGAAAAATCCAGAACATTCACCGCAAATTTCTACAAGAAGCTCCCGATGAAGCATATCTGTTGAAAACGATGAGTTATACTTCATATTTAAACTCTTTGTTGTCATTAGAAAGACAGTGTATCTTTATTTTATTGCATCAATGAGTAATGTTCAATTTGATTGCAGAGTTTGTCGTACTATGGCTCAGTTGGCCGGACATTTTTTTCTGGCTTGTCAGTTATTTCAATTTTTTTTGTTTCCTTTGGACATATGGGATAATATCAATAAGAACTTTTTCAACTATTTCAATCGCTCATACTCTCAGGGTAGTTATTTCCAAAAGCTGCGTTAGTAGAAAAAATCTTGTGTGTATTTCGAGCACAAAGTGTTATTGCCGCTCTCCAAAGATTACCGCGCTCCGCTCCGCATCGCGCGGTAACTTTCTTTGTCGAGTGGCAATCTATCACTTTGCGCTCCAAATACACAAATAGCTATTTTTATTCACGTATGTCATTCTTCATGTCAAAACTGAAGAGTAGGTATAATATCATGGTGTTTATATGAAAATGAATTAGTATTATTGATGAAATGCACATTCATAAGATTGTTAGGTTAAATAAAACCCAATAAACCTACTTTAGTTACACAAAATAATGAGAAATGAATCGATAGTAGTTGACTTTCGAAATTTTTCACAAATTCAGTTCATTAAACTTGGTAGAAATATATTTTCCTGCAAGGAACCCAAAAGTACTATTCAGTATATCCATGAAATTTGCGCGCATGATATTATTAGGTTGAATAATAGTTATTTGTTTAACTAGGCAGCAAAGTAGTAGATTGACTGCCGAGGCTGAATTCATAGCCGAGCGTAGCGATTGTTCATAATGATATAGGAGGATATTGTAATTGCAAATTATTACAATTCCCACAATCTCTTTTTTTTTCCTGTAGTGTTCAATTGAAATGAAATTTGATAGAAATCGCAGTTGTCCATGATAATTATATAGTTTGACGATTCATGAAAATTTTGACATATGTGCGAAAAATATCGGTATATTCAAATTATTATATAATGGACAGTGATAGCGACCTGGAATCACTTACACCTCCAGAAATAAGGGAGGTGGCAAAAAATATAGAGTTGAATTTGTTGCCGGAGAAGCCTCGAATGAAATATGAAGGAAATTATAAACAATTTATGGATTATCAATTTTGCTGATACATATCGATCAACAAAGTAACCACTTTGCTGCCTAGGCAGGAAAAGTAATACTTTGCTGATTGATATGTGTCAGCAAAATTAATATTTGCTGCCAATCGGAAAAAAAATATATTTGAACGACTTTATAGTTGACTAAATTGAAGAAAAATGAGTCAGTAGTGAATCAATCTTTTAGTTTTTCACAAATTTATTCAACTAATGTTGGTAGAAAATAATGAAAAAGGTGCCTATTTCAAATGATAGAAAATAATATAAAAATAGTATAATAATAAGTTCTCTATTATTTCCAGGAGTCCTAATATCTCAGTTATCCACTTTAGTTAAAAATGAAAGTTCTACAGAAAAGTTGATTATGGTTTAATATATCTATTTTCGATCAATCTAATCTACTAAAATCGTAGCAAGAATTTATTCACCGAATTTGTTTGGGATTATCAAATATCAATTGCTTCTGGCGTGTGAAAAGTATGGAGCTCTTCGTGGATTACAACAGAATAAGATTGTTTCAAAGAACTTACATAATATATATTTCATCACACATGAAAATGATGATTGTTTGTGATGAAATGTAAGAACTAACGTATAGTAACAACATGTGTTTTTGTAAATTTCGAATTTGCAAGTATACCTACATAATATTATATGGTAAACTGTTGATGAATGATTTTTATCTATTGACTCGTAGAATGAACTCGAATAAGTTGAATGTAAATGTCATCTAACCTATAAACGTCGAAAAATTTCCAGTGTAATTTCATGCTCCGTCCCCCAAGGAGGAGGAAAAAATGTCCAAGAAATTTGTTAAGTTGCTATGGTAACGATACGAAATACAGGCTTTGAATTGATGGAAAATGTTTGGAGTGAAATTTTCGTCAAAATACACTCACCGGCAAAAAAACGGCCACCAAATAATTTTCTCAAATTTCTCACCCTGTAAGTTATTCAATCCTTGTCCGATTCTTGTGAAATTCTGATCAAATCCTAGATTCATGTTCCGCAATGTTAGCCTAAATACTATTTTCCGTTAAGAGCTGATGACGTGATCATTATACAGGGAAAAACCAAAGTTACTTATTCACCCATTACTTCTTAACGCCCTGTGGCGAATTTTAGTAGTTGAACTTGACGTCATTTTGCTTTAGCTTGAAATGTGATCACTTCTCAACACAATAGTTTTTGATTCACGTCAATATCTTATCTTTAAGAGGAGATACAAGTGTTTCAAGAAATTATGGCATATTTCAATTTTTATCAACAATAATCAGAACCTACATAAACTTATTGATCAATAACTTGAAGAATCAATATTACTTATTTCTACCTCATTTTCATAGCAGTTACCGGAGAAAATTTTCATTACAAAAAAGTCAATAACGAGTATGCCCCCCTCGTGTTTGAATTCCAGCATTCATTCGCAGTGACATCAAGTGGATAAAATTTCGGTAATTTTTTTTGGTACTTACGTATTTTTGTCTGAAAAACACGAATTTGATAATGAATTGAAAAAAAAAAAGAAAGTTCATGCTTTCTTAAAACACTTGTATCTTCTCTTATTAACTGGTTATCGACGTGAATAAAAAACCATTGTATTGAAAAGGGATCACACTTCAATCCCAAACATAATGAAGCTAAGTTCGACCACTTACCTTCTCCACAGGCCGTTAAGAAATTGAGGCTGAAAGAGTCACTTTCGTTTTTCCCTGCATAATGATTAAGTCATCAGCTTTTCTCAAGAACTAATTTTCAGACTAACATTCCGAAACAAGAATATATGATTTCAGGTAATATTGCAAAAAGAATATTTTTTATGAAATATCACATAAAATGTTTTCAAAATGTTTCAATTCGACTCGTGATTCAGAAACATTTCCATGAAACATCCCTGATGATGGCGGACATCTATAGTTTCTGGAATGTTTCTGAAACATCTCGGCAACTTCGGATGCAATGTTTCATGCATCAAATATAATGTCTCAGAAACATTTCAAAAACAAAAAAACTTACTGGGTAATAACTGATATTTCTGAAGTTCCCAATCGTATTTCAATACATGGCAACTGTACTATGGTCTGATTTACTGGCGATAAATTTCTAGCCGTTTGAAAATTACCGTGGTATTATTGATGATTTTAGCACCTAAAAATTTATCAAAAAATCCTTTGAAAATATTGAATCGGAAGATATTTGAGTGATGATTCTATTTAAGAAATGAGAGAAGAATTTTCTACCCTCCTATTGAATCACAAATACAGTTTTAAAAGATCTTATTGTGGCATACAACTGTTTCGTTTCTTTATGTTATAATAACGTAAATATCGTGTTATATTGCATGTTGCAGGTTGCCTATTTCATATTCAAATGAATCTATTGCTTAAATTTTGGAAAGAACCTGTATATTGAATTTCAATTCGTTTTTCAGGTCGTCAGTCTCTATGCCACCAAACTCACAGGTGGATCGTTGGATTCTTTTTAAAATAAGTATAAACGGATGTAATATGTATTTATACTTATATTTTATTTCCTAGTTTGTTAATATCATTGTGATACCTACCTAGTGAATGTATATTCTAGTAGAATAGTACTGGATGAACATAATATAATTCGTAGTCTTTCAAATTGTTTATTGTAAATATTATTATGTTTCAGGTTCTCAGAAAACATATCTGTTAACTAATTGAAATTGAGTTGTATTGTTATTGAAATGAGAATTTGAATGCTCTCTATCTGAAATTAAATGTGATTTAGTTTTTTACTTATGTTGCGTTCTCTTCTCACTCTATATTCATTTCATTGGCACTAATACCTATACAGTGTTTTCAGTATTGAATAACTACTTCATCAATGTTTGACACCAAATGATCAGAAATCAGTGGAACTGATGGTATTCTCTATTTGGAATTTCGAAAAAACATTGGTTGAATTCATGATAAAGAAATTTACCAGAATTTGTGATCAGAACCATATAAAAAAAATGTTGTTGAAGGTTCTACGAATACGAAACGTTGCCTAGAGAAATCAATATTTCCACGTTAAATATCATCAGAAGTTGCTATGAAAACTTTTCTCCAGTTTCTCTGTGTATCATCAAAAATAACGGATGAAAATATTGATGATTTTCCAAAAATTCACTTCTTCGATATAACCCAGTAAACACAGGATAACCTATGGATATCCATATGATGTCTATGCTTGATTCATATGGGCATGGACACTGAGTGAACATCTAATAGATGTCCAATATCAGCACAAATACGTCCTATGGACGTTTAGAAAACGTGCACTCTCGACATTCAGGACGTTTTCGAGACGTTCTTTTCTGGACGACGGGCATCCATCGTTCATAATCAGGATTTTTTGGAGACCTCCATTGTAGGTCCAGATTATGACCTTTTGGGAACCAAAAATGGACGTAATAAGTACATTCAGATTATTTCATTGTTTATTTTCTGACCCATCTCAAGAGTGAAATACTTGAATATCAGTATACATTCATTTGCACATAATAATATAAACAGAGAAGCAGGTAGTTGTTTCAACTTCCCCTTTCTCCATATCAACAGCTGCACCATTTGAAACGTCGCGTGATTCATCCAGTAACGCAGGCGCGATGATGCCGTTTCTTTCTGATTGGTAGGCTTCTGTTGTCACATGTTATCTTGAGTACAACGTAGATTTTTGGACAACTTCAGAAAAAGCACATATTGAAAACCATTTTTGATATTTTTGTCTGCACTGATGTCATTTGAATAGGTAAATGAAGCTATTATTATCTCTGAAACGGTTGAAATGTATGTTTCAAAATACTATTTCATCTAGAACGGTAGAAAATATCGATTGGAATAAAGTTCATCATTTTTGTAGATGAAATATGAAGGAATCGAATGATGGATGCAGAATTTGAAATTTGTCACCAAACTATTCGTATCATTTTGTATAAATATATTTACCGAGAAGTCGTTCACGTATGAAAAGGAGCATTAGTATAAGTTTATTCACCTGCCCGAATATCATTGATACCATGGTACCGTTTGGAAGTTATACATGTAATAATTTTTTTTCATTCTAAATTTCAAGGTCAATAGCTCAATAGCTCTGTAACGAAACGTGATAGACATTTTTTTTATATGAAGTACTTTCATTATTTTGTCTCACACTCTATCAGACCTATATGATTCACGACATGACCTTTTCGGACACCCTGTATACAGTAAGGACGTAAAAAATCATCTCCTCTCTTTCATTAGTTTTTGGCATGTTATTGTGGTCTCGTGGTATAGTGTGAAAAGGACACCATGCATTTTTTTTCAATGAACTCAATACAACTGGAAGGGAAACGATCGTTCTCTCGAATAGCACAAAGTGTGTCAGGGGCAGCTGCAACAAAGATAGCATGATTTACGGATACCTGTCCTCTTCCAACTCGTGTTGTTTAATGGTGGATTGGTGTATAAATTTTCTTTTATCTAATAATTAAAGTAGTAAAGAATTTTTTCTGTCATCTACACAGGCAAGAAAGTGAAGACATAAGTTCATTGTTTTAGTTCATGTGAAATACGAGGTGAAATATTTATTCATTTGGCGTGTTTTGTTGTAACAAAAGGACTGGATTTGTTGTTGTGAACACTGAACTGATTGTTGAGAAGGTTTGTGATTAGTATTTATGAACAATGGTGATTTATTGTATCGCCTTTGGATGCAAGAAGAATGAACAAAACAAAAGGAAATTAGCATTCCATGGGTAAGTTGAATATTGTTCTCAGATTTTTGAAAAATATAGTTCATGAAATGATCATCAGTTAGGTTTACAATGTCCAGTCTCAGAATATCCCTAATAACACACTTATGTCCCATGGATATCCTTAGGACGTCATGTCGGGACATTAAGGACGTCCATAGAACGTTCGAATTTGGTACCGTGGACGTCCATTGGACGTCTGTGGGACGCACAAATGTCTCACTTGAGGACCAACTAGGGACGTCCTTGAGGGACGTCCCTGGGACAACAATCGAATACCTAAATCCTACAGTATTCCTCATCAAGCACTACAGAGGACGTCCTTAGGACATCCATTGGACAACCTATCATCAACGCTGAGGGATATCAATTGGATGTCCATAGGATGTCCCAGGGACGTACGAATTATTCTTGAATTTGAATTTGTCTGGGTCCCTTTAAGACCAGATCTTGCATAACTGATTAGGACATCCACTTGAGTTGATGGTCCATAGAAGGTCCCCAAAAAGTTTCCCAAGGATGTCCAATGGACTTACGTGAAGGACATTGACGAGGAGTACTTATAGCCTACGAGCAATCATTCGTCGGCGAGGTGTAAGTTAACGTCCTCGCAGGGACAACATATTGAAAGTACCGACTAGGACGTCCATAGGACGTTATTTCTAGGACATTGAAAGAGTACACTTTATGTACCAATTGGGACATCCGACGGACATCCGAAGGACGTCCCTAAGGGACATTTTGATTGTCATACGATCCTGGAAATATTAAGGGTGCCTGTGCAGAGATATTTGAAGGAATGTACCATCAGGGTCATTTCATGGTTGTCTAGAAGGGACATTATATAAGATCTGAAGTCATGCCAGTATATGTACTACTCGGGACATCCGATGGATGTCCCTAAAGGAACGATTAAAATCATATCCCATCAGGGACACGCCAAGGACGTCCTTGCATGGGCATTCTACAATATGTACCACGTGGGACGTCTAAGGGATGCCATTTCTAGGACATTCGAAATGATGTACCAGCTGGGACATTTCGTGGACGTCCTTGCTCGGACATTGCATGAGATGTACGGGATGGGACGTCCCAAGGACACTTATTTTTTGTTCGGGACATTCGTACATGAATTGTACTAGATAGGGACGTCCTTAGGACGTTGTGTGCTATTAGGGATGTTCAAAAACTATAGGTATCTATATTATTTGTCAAAGTTAAATACTTCCATATTAATATTGAGTGATATTATTTATTGCAGTTTTCCATTCAAAAGACCAGACATTCTCGAATTATGGATAAAGGCAGTTCCTAGTGAGAATTGGACTCCAACTAAAAGCAGCAAGCTTTGTGGGGAGCATTTCCTGCCAACAGATTATTCAGGCATACCAGGTACTGCTAGGTTTTTGAAAGCTGATGCTGTACCCAGTATATTTTCATTTCCTCAGCATTTGTTACCAAAAAATGCTGATTCCCCCAGGAAAATAAGAAAACTAATAGGTACCTAGTTGATTAATAATGAAAAAAAAGTATGTTTGCACCTATTTAAAATAAAAAAACTAGCTAGTAATTTGTTTTCAGGATGCATCTGTGGACGTTCATAACTTGGGTCCAAAGGAAGAAGTTTCCCATGTTATTGACTTTGACTTGCCTACCACTTCCAGCTCCCAAGTTTCGAAGTTGATCAATAAAAAAACTCAAACTGTTTCATTAGAGAAGGATATTGTATTGAGGAGAAAAGTGAACACACTGAGACAAAAAGTAAAAAGGAGAGACCTAAAAATTTCAAACATGAAAGAATAAGTAGTTCAATCAATTTCCAACAGTGGGTATAGTAATGACAATTAATGAGTGACCTAATGGAGGAATGGGAACCTATGGAAATTATGCTCAAAATGCACTCATTAATACCATTCAAGAACCTCTTTTCAAATTTTTCCTATCGTTTTTCTTTTCCTTCTGATAGTTCTGAGACATTGTGCTTCGCTCACCCTGTACAATATATTGTGAAATTTGAATAAAAATATATAATTTCAATTTTGTATTCATTTGACTTCCTGATCCTGTAAGAGTAATATTGAAATTTCATTTTAAAGTCAATGAAAAAATCAGTAATAATTTTTTAATGATAATTGATTACAACATTATCCTTTTTCCTGAATGAATATTTTTATTAAATCACGTTTACTCTTAAATAGAAGCAAAAAACGAGAAAATATTTCAAATTATGCGAGCGCTTCCCATTAGCCAACACAAGATAGAGAGAGATAGGTATCCATAAACACTGCGGGTTGCCTGAAAAATATTTTTGCCTCACTCGTCGTTCACAGTGGGTCCCTTCCAGTTGTTTACATACAGTTCATTGTTTTTTTTATCGAATGTAGAAGGAAGTTACGTTGTACCTGATGGTCTTTTAGGCCTTTCGTTTAATTCTCTATTTAACGCCGCAATGTTTTTGTAAATCGGCGAAGCTGTTTCATATTGACAAGCGTTCGAAATCATTCAAACATTCAATGTTTAAGAGGTAAATTCTCAACGCTTGACAGTTCAAAACGGCTTGGCCCATTGTTAGAAATGAAAAGGTTTTGAATTGAATCAAAATTCGAAAGCTTCGACCTTCGAAAACCGGTACCATACGTGACCGCAGTTTTTCATTTGAAATAAAAAAAAGTTGATTGTTCACTTTTGACAATTACTTGGTCAAGTGAACACAACCGCTTCCATGCTAAAAAATACTGAAAGAGGTACATTTTTACCTGAATCTTACCTTACCTCGCTAGCATGCTACGTTCAAATGTTGAAGGGGAGAGAGAACTTTTTACGTCCACACTGTTTCTACTTCGAAGATTCATCGAGGAAGATGAATAATTTTTTTCTACTCCCGTATGTGAATTACTAACTTCACACATCGATAAAAATGTGTAAAGCTTCATTTCACGAATCGGTGTGTGAAGTGCCATGCTTTTCTTATGGGATTTATTTCACGCACCGGTGCCATAAGAGTCAATACAAATTCACACACCGGTCGCTGGTCTAGGTAGCGGTGGCGAGAAACATTGACAAATATGACAGTTCCCGCAGAGTGAAGTTCAGAGTTACATCAGTTGATAGACCGTAAATAGTAATTAATTACCCTCTGAATTAATAAATAGTACGACGAAATTTTAATTTAAACCGATTAGCCGTGTATTTCACGCAAATTCCTGATGTACAGCATTGAAGTATAGTAGTATATCCAAAAACAATTGCAGAATCTTGTGCTGCACCTGCAGTCACTTCAAAGGAAACTTCAAACACGCCGACGTCGCACAGTGTGGAATATTCTGCAATTGATATTGGATATACTTTACTTCCATCAACTCCTCCAAATATAACGTTAGCAACCAGTGAAGAAAGTTCATCGTTATTGCCACAAAAATCGTTGGGAATTTACGAAAACACTTTGGAAAAGTTTATGCAATGGCGCAATACAAACAACGTCCAATCATTCTCCGAAAGGGTAATATTAGCCTACCTATCTGAATTATTAACAAAGGTTAAATCTTCTACCTTATGGAGTCACTACTCAATGTTGAGAAGCACCCTTAGTGTTAAGTACAACGTACAAATTGGTGATTATCCGAAAGTTCGCGCTTTCTTGAAACGGAAAAACGAGGGATACATTCCTAAAAAATCACACGTTTTGGATAAGGAACACGTATTAAAATTTCTCAAAGAGGCACCCGATGAAAAATATCTATTAACCAAAGTAAGTCCATTTGTATAAATATCGATAAATACTAATCTTTAAATTTTTAGCTTATTTTGTTGTTTGGGGTAGCTGGAGCCCTGCGCAGAGATGAGCTCCATAAATTAAAAATGGATGACATCCAAAATTTGGGAACAGTTCTTATTGTGTCAGTTAATGATACGAAGACTAAGGTTTCTAGAAAATTTACTGTTACTGAATACTTGGACATATATCACAAATACGTGGCTCTTCGTCCCAAGGATTATGCCGAAAATAAATTCTTTATTAATTATCAACGAGGGGAATGTAATCGGCAAGTGATTGGTATAAATAAGATAGGAAAAGTCCCTTCCGAAGTTGCCACATTTTGGAAACTCCCCAATCCCAACGAATTTACCGGGCACATCCTACGGCGTTCATCTGCGTCTTTATTAGTCGAAGGTGGAGGAGATCTCCTAACGCTAAAAAAACACGGCGGCTGGAAATCATCCTCAGTGGCAGAAGCCTACGTGGAAGAATCCCTAACTAAAAAGATAGATGTCTGCAATAAAATCTTAACAACTGAGAATAATCGTAGTTATATTGTCAATACCAACAGTACAAGCAGCACTAATTTTGTAGAGAAAGACAAAGTAAATGTACATTTTGACAATTTACAAAATTGCAATATAACAATAATTATTATTATAATAAAGAAAATTAGTCAAATTTTCCTTTAATTCAATCTCTAAGTAAAAGGTCGTAGAAAGAGTATAGTGTGCACCACGTCCGTGAAGACTTCACGCACTATAGATACACAATATACTATTATATTCCGCGTGTTTAATGTAGTCATTACGACATCCAAATGCCTATGGAATCAGCTTCATTCTCTATTAGGAGTTAAAACACGCTGAATTTCTTCTCCCAAAGTTGGTATATTTGAACTGTCAGACAAGATTGACACTACGTTTTTGGTTTTGTGTGATGAGAAAATGAACGTTCAAATGTTATTATTTCATTGTTACTATCTATTTACCTACTTCATATATTTTTAATGGTTGAAGTCTTTTAGTGATGAAATCGTTTCGAATCAAGGAGTACAAATGAATGATAAATGGAAACACTAAATTATACTATATGATTCGTTCTTTTTCCTATTCTTTCCCATTTGCCCGTAAGTCATCGATCGTTATAGTCATAGCGAAAAATGATATCTTGTGTGAAAATTAAATGTATAATTGGGTTTTATCAAGTTTTATGAGGCCTGTGGAAATCTCAAAAATATACTCTTCATCGATATTGTTCTTCATTTATGAAGTTTCATAGTTTCTAAATACTTCAGATAACAATCAATTCACGTTTCCCTGAACCGGAGATCAGTTCCTCTCAAGTTTTCTTCAATCCATTCATCGACTTCCCTCTCCAAATCTCCTGAAAAATAGTCCCTCCATCCTCCAGATTGACCTTTCCTTATGAAAGCCTCTTTTTTACGTCCAATGCCCATATCCACGAAGTGGTCCATGTTCACTGATTTGTTCTTCTTGAATTTCTCAAAACTCAAGTGATCCTCTAAAGCGTCTACTTGTTCAGCTGTCAGAGGTTTTTCCAGGAATTCCGCTATCTTGGTAATCGCACCTCGTTTGTCCTGAAAAAACGTGAATCCAAATGCTCAGTTCAATAGTCATTCTTCCTTGAACCTAACCAGACAAGCTTGACCACAGTTCATCAGCTGTGTGTTTGTTTTTTGTTCGGTTTCAGTAGTAATCTAATTCATCACCTGTATCAAACATATACAGGCTGTCCCATTGGGAAACAGGAAAACTTCAACAGTAGGTAGAGCTCATCAAGGTGGTTCTGAATATACCATATTTGTAGGGTATCGCAAGTTTTCAATCCGAAATATAGGGTGTTTTATCAATTTTGTTCAATTCTTTGTGAGGACATAACTTACAAACCATACCCAGTATATTCATTTGGTATTTGGTACACAATTTCGCCTTCTTCTACCAAAGCAACTCACCTATCAGTCACGAGAAAAATCCAGGACCGGGTCAACAAAAATCGGTCATATATCTGGACCCCAAAAATATCACCCTGTATTTTCGAATTTCCAAAATCCGCTCACATATTTGGAAAGTGCATGAGAATCTGAATCGTATATGATGTACTTTCCATTTTTCCGCATGCTATCTCACTAGATAATTTCTGATTTTGAATTTGAGGTTTCATGCATTTGGATAGGTAAAAATGAAATTTCTTGAGTTCTCCCAATCTAATAACAAAAACTATCACGAATCACCCAGTATATTCTTCTGGAATGTGGTACACAAGTCCTCCTTCTTCTACCGTATAGCGACTCACCTATATCAGTCACGATGAAAATCCAGGTCCGGATTCACGAAAAATTATGATCTGGGCCCGAAAAAGAACACCCAGTATTCTCGAATTTCCAAAATCCGATTTCATATTTGAAAAGTTCACAAAAAGATGGATCGAATTGTGTACTTTTCAATATCCCAAATGCTCTTTCACTATACTTAATTAATTTCTTATTCTGAAAACTCAAAACTTTCCATCTTACCACGATTTCTACCTATCCAAATGCATGAAACCCCGAATTCGAAATCAGAAATTCAGTAGTTAAATAGCATTCGTATGAAAACAAAAAGAAGATACTCCGATTCAGCTTTTTGTGCGACCCTACAAATATGGTATATTCAGAACCACCTTGATGAGCTCTACCCACCATTGAAGTTTTTCCGTTTCCCAATGGGTCACCCTGTATATCATAGATAGGAACAATGTACCTGACTACTTCAAATTCAAGAAAATTTGAACAATTCGCTACGTACACCCTAAGAACACGAGTACATCCTAGGGACTTAACAGGGACGTGCCTAATTTCATACTGAGACATTCCAGGGATAGCCTCTTTCGGGACAAAACACATACTAGTGACGTCTCAGGGACATATCCGCTTTCAGAAAAAAAGAACATCCGAGGGATGTCCTTCTGGTACGTCCCTGGGATGTACCAAGTACTAAGAAAGGATATCCCTAGGACATCTCGAGGATATTCCATGAACATCCCTTCGAAAAAATAAAAACAAATGTAGGTCGAGTAGGGATTGCACCCGGGACCTTCAGCTTATCAGGCACTCACCTCAATAAATACAACTTGATTGGGATTTGAGTATAGTTATTATCATGGTCGGGTGTTTTAAAATGCAGGGCATAATGTATTCATGATTCCTGTTTGCGAAAAAAGGTCATTTCTTAAGAAGTTCTGAGACTATATTCTTCATTTTCATTACAATTATTTTCCGGAAGAAAAACAAACATTTCCAAAATAATTCAACTCAAAATATTTTGATGAAATTCAATGACTCTGATGTGAATGAATAACAGATATTCAAGGGACAGGAATAGGATAACCTAGGGATGTCCACTGGACAACCACTGCGGGACTTCCCCTGGATGCCTCAATCATGTAATTGTACCTCGGGACAAAGATGGGATGTACCTAAGGGCGACCCTGTGTTGTTAGGGCATATTTAAAATGTATGAAATATTCATTTTCATCAGTAATATGATGAGATCATTGACAAATACTTCGTATGAATCTATGAATATCTCTTCAAGAAGTATAATTTTTTTCAAATAAATTATACGGGGTGAGTCATGAGAAACTGTACATACCCCCATCACCTCGAATAGAGGTCCCTGAGAGGAACACCTAACGTCCATCAGACATTTTTTTCTTCACTTCTTTTCAATATATAGGCTGAATTATAAGATTTGGCAGACACATCTTTTCGACATAACTTTCGAACAGCTTCTTCGAATCGTCTGATTTTTGCATGGAATATTCCGCTACTCATCATCATCATCATCATCATCATCATCATTTATCAATTCCCATAAGACAATTATGAATTGTATTGGTAAAGTCACCATCATAAAATGATATATACAAAAGTTTGAAGAAGAAGGAGAAGAACAGAGGAAGAAATATATACATCTAGATGGTGGGCTGGTGGCCGTGAGCGTAGAGTCGCTGGCTGTTGCCCAGGCGGTCCGGGTTCGATCCCCGGCGCGAGCACTGAATTAATTTTCGGTAGTTTCGTTGGGCGGGAGGAGATAGGTGGCCAACCCAACATTCTTGGTACCTAGATATCAATCCTTTGGACTGTCCACGGTTACCAGCCGAGTAGTGCTTCGGATGACACTTAAAAAGCTAAGGTCCCCGTCTTCTTAACTCACACAAGTCTCTGACTTTCGAGGGTTGCTTTGCAACTAAGCTGGCGGTTAAAAACACTCAAAAACACTTAAACACTTAAAGATACATACCTACTGAGATTTAACTAGTGTTGCCATCTAGACAAGACAAGACAAGATTAACCTACTCTTGTCTTGTCTTGAAATTTCAAGACAAGAGTTGTATACGCGTAAGTCTTGATTGAATAAGCTAAGTGCGGTCTTGTCTAGATAACGAAAGTCTAGATTCTTATTCAAGACTCTAGATGAGACCCTTAGCTTAAATTGCGTAGAAACAGTCAAGTGCATGCAAACTCCCGCTCTTTGGGAACCAATCAAAACAAATCATAGCCGCGACTTAAAAGATTCGGACCACGAATTTGGTTTTTAAAAACTTTTATTTTATTGGCAAGTGAATCGTACAATATCTAAGTCAAGACTGACTGAACTGTGTTCTTACAAATCGGGAATAACAAAGTTTAAATCAGCACTTCTCACGAGAAATATCAAAGTGCTGGTGAAGCGTTTCCTATTTCATGGCAAACCGTGAGAATCGTTCATGTAACTCCTCCATCCCTAATGGAAAGCATTTTTCATGGAGTGAAGAATGCTCGAGGGTGCGCTTCTGGTGTTGAGGTCGGCAAGGCATCGGATTCTTCTTGCGTCTTCTCTTCTGATGATCTTCGGTTTCGGAGGAATCTAACAATATGATAGACTCCAGCCAACATCAATAGGACATAGATCAGGATGATCCAGTGGCTGCTCTGTGATTTCTCGGTGTGGCTAAGGATCATCGGTGTCAGCTTCTTCTGCTCGCTCTGAAGTGTATGGATTTCGTCTAGAGGGATGTCATCAATGACGATCTCGGCTTTGGACATCTTTGATGGACCATGAGGGACGGTGATTTCGGGCAGCAGCATTGGTTGACCATTGGATACATCTTTCTGGTTAATGAACTGATCGCTATCGGTTCCAAATCGGCATCCTAGGGACAGGGTTATTAGATAATTGCCTTGCAGGGTTGTGAAGTCAGTGCGCTCGCATATCGTTTGGATTTTCGTTTCGTTTGGGAATACTGCAATGTAGTGGGACTCGTCAATCTGTTGGACCATATTCCTCGTGGTGCGTATTTGAGTCTGATGACAATTTTTGTAGGTGGATTCCATTTGTAATAGCTGGAATACACAGTCTTCTTCTTTGATGCCGTCCATTAGTTTTTCTTCGGTACAGTAGTAGTCAGGATGCAAGGCCATACAGGGCGATGATGTGTATTGATAGAAATTTTCATTCATGATCAGATAGGTATTAAGGGGGATAATTGTTGTTGAATTTTGTGTTGGAATGGAATAGAGGTGGTAATAATAAAAGGTTTCCGGGTGTATTATTGGAAAGTGGAGAACGAAAACAATCTTTTTGTCTGAATAATATGCTTCAATATCTATTATTTCGTAATACTTGTGAATGTCATGGGCGATATCAGGAAATATCAATTGATCCAGAGAATAAAATTTCAGAATAGATTCAACGATAGACTTGAGTTCGTCAATTTTCAATATACTACTGTGAGGAATTTTGAGTTTAGCAAACGTTACCGCATTCTCAATATCATTCAGAAGTTGAATGATTATATTGAGTGACAAATTCATTTGATCCAAAATATTCTTGGTTTCCAAATAGTCATTGAAATCGTAGATAAATTTATTCAATTCAGAATTGATCCGATTCAAACCAGAAGTTATAACTTCTTGATTATGTTTGATTAAAGTGATTGTTTTATTAAAATTAGTGATAATTTTGGTAGTAAGAGAAATGTCTTTATTCAATTTCTGTACGATTTCTTTCTGATTATTCTCTAAGTCCTGGATTGCTTGGTTATAATGGATTGCGTCGTTCGCATCTAAATTGCCAGAAATTCCTTTTATGATGGTACCTAAACCGTCAATGAGACCACGTTTCATCCTGCTATTGGGACATATAGAATGGAATTTTTGTTCAGCTGATTTTAATTGATATAGTAATGATTTATCGAAATTTTGAAGTTCAAGGAAATATGGGCAAAGTGCATTTTGAATAGAATCTGTAATATTTTCATATTGGAGTCTTAACGATTCTAGTTCTATCTGAATGGGAGTGAGGTCAAAATAATGGATGAAGGTATGGGTTTTGTATTTAAGCTTGGCTAGGCCCAGCTTGAACGGAAGGATCCCCGGATTTTTGTTCAGATTGGTTATTTGTACTTCCTGGGACATTGCTAGCACTATTAGGTGATACCTGCAACAATTTAGGCTTATTAGCCGGAGGTCTTCTCAAATTTTGTTTGTGAAGTGTTTTTCGGGTGGATGTTACTTTAATGTTCCTGTTCCGGACCACTTTGTCCTTAGAAAATCTC